GCTTTTGAGGCCATTAGGACTTGGCGGTGGTGCCTGTTGTTTGGGTTAGCTTTGCTGTTACTGGTGCGGTCCTTGCTGCTGCTGCTGCTGCTGCTGCTGCTGGAGTTCAAGTGCCGAAGCAAATGTCTCCGGTAGAGAGGGGGTGAAGATAATGGAGATCTCGGAGATCTCCTACAAGGCACTCAACCCCAAACTCAACCCAGTACTCCAATTTTACGTACCAGATTTGATAATTTTTGAGATACTTTAGAGAAACGCCATTGAGCCACTCTAGTTCTTCCAGGAGGTCCTTTTCCAAGGCGAAAAGAATCTTGGCGCGGTAGATCCTTGCTCGTGTTAGCAGAGAAGGAACTGTAAAAAAAGCATTTCCAGAGTCCAGGTCCAGTTGAAAGTTCAATGAAACACTTACCACACAGTGTAGTGGGCGGGGTTAAGGGAGATGACATCTTCAGTCAATCGCAAAGCGCGCTCCGACATCTCATTCGCAGCCATGACGGCGCGCAGGTACGAGGTTGCCTCGAGGTACTCGGATGGGTAGGCGATGGATGCCAGAGGCATTGCGCCGGAGTCGGAGCCATCGTCGAGCTGGATGGGTGTGATAGATTCCCATTCCGGGTCGTTGGCGTATTTTCCTTCTGCCATTGATGCGGCTTGAAGCTGTCAACTGCTGCAGAAAATGAGGGGCAGATAGCGTCCGATACTGCGATGGATGTGGTTCCTTTCGCGATGGAGGTTGGTGGACTGTTAAGTAGTTGTATACTGTGACAATTGTTCTTTTTGGCTATTTTCAATTGCTGTTTGCCTTGCTGAGGGCGGCAAAGTGGTTAGGGATTGACGAGGAGGATGTTGGTGGATGTGCAGAGGTGGGGCGAAGTTGGAGTTGCCAAGGCGGAGACAAAGAGAATCACTACAATCAACTACAATCACTGCCGAAACCATTCATCAACTTCAACTTCCTATTTAGAATACACTCAGATGTGCGGGGGAATTTAGGAAGAGCTTGTTGTATAAGTCTGATTCGACCTCAAATTTGAAGATAGAACTCATACTCAAGTACTATTTCTGGCACTATCAGCTAGTAGAGCTATGCTATTGCATTTTATACTACTAGTAATTTCATCTTTCTTTTCCTTCATAGGTGTACAATAAATAGTCAATACTGGCCTAGTACTACTAGTAGCACCTTAAACTGCTTGGTAGTCCTTTTCTCAGGGTGAATACTACACATGCTGGCATTTCTCAGGCTGGGCACCTACTAGATAGCTTCTAAAGCTCCCTTCTCGTCTATTCACCTGTAAGAACTCAGATTTAGTCGAAAATATCCATGTATTGATATTAAAAGAAGTAATAAAACTAGAGTCATACGGTTATGCTGCCTTGCCTTGATTTCCTTGGTGCCTTGTGGCCTAGGCATCCGCCCCGGCCTCCATCCACCTGTTTATATCTATGTACAAAAGAGCCTTGTGAATCACGAAATCGTCACTAAAGGAGATTAATTGCATGGTCTTATCATGGTTTTGTTTGTAGGAAGTCTCTGTCCTGGTGCGTAGACCCTTATGGTCTAGGGGAACGATTGGTTCCTCTAGGAAAGTCGATATGCAGGATAGGAGAAGCTGAATTGCGGGCTTATCTTTTTGTCTTTTTTTTCGAAATTTCCAGAATTTCCTGGTCTTGGTATTCCTTTCGATGCCAGTAAGTACCAAGCCAACAAGTATCAAGCCCTGCGGGCCGCAATTCAAGATCTCCCATTACCTATGGAGTGGCGGAGGTATCCGGGGGAGAACTACTTTTGTTATCCAAGGAAAGGGGATACGCTGGCTTCATGGGGGTGGGGGCAGCACCGCTCCCAGTCAATTTTCAAGCCTGATTACTATCAACGGTTATTTTGTCCACTCTTTTAATACCACATTCGAAGTCTTACAGCTCAGCCATGAGGATGAAGCGTCAAGCCTGGTCATTTTGTGCTGAGAGAAACTGTCCGTTCTGAGTTCACCACAACGTATTCTAGGGCAGCAGTTGCCGTCTGTTTGAGTATGCCATAGAAAGCTCTCGAATCGGTTCCGAACCATGAAGACAAGTACATGTGTCTAAACGCAAAGACAGGACTTGCATCGAGATTTATGTCGATGATATGAATGCTTTCCCAAAAGCAAGGACCAAAACATGCCAGTGAGTCCCAACCCCCATCGTGCATCATAATCCACAAATATAATCTTGGGAGAACACTTCCAAGCAAAAGCTTTATTCATTTTCTCCAATTTCAATTAGATTTTTGAAAGGTGACAATAGAATAGGAAAATTCCCAAAGCGGCCTGCGAAATATGAAGGCAACTTAAGTTGGGGTTCAAATACGAGCGCCAAGCTCCCTTCGACGCAGCAACTCCGTGGCGAACCTCCGTGGGCGACACCTGTCCATCCACCATCGCATTACCAGCGACCCCGGCTACTTTACACTTTCAAGCTTTAAACCTTTGAAGAAAGTCTCTACTTAATGGCCAGAAAGGCCGCAACGAAGGCCCTTGTGGCCCCCACGCTTGATGAGGATGCTGCGGAGCGCAAGCGCGTGCTAAATGTCCTAGCGCAGCGAAGATACAGTATATTATCTTTCAGTCTTGTCGAATATGCACTTACTATATGGCGTAGGGAAAAAGAAGAGGGAGCGCCTTCAAGTGCTCGAATCTCGAGCAAACGACCCTGTAAAAACACCATCTTTGTCGATGACAGTCTCACCCGAAGCCAGGGATGCTTCTGCCACGCCCACGTCGACTTTGGAACATCAGGGTCAGTCGTTAAGCCAACTGTCCTTCTCATACTCACCCGCAGTCTTTGAAGAATATCATCAAACTGCCAAAGAGAATACGCCATTCTTCCTACCAATCTCAGAGCAATCAGGGCCCTCAAATCAAGACCTCCCATCAGCCGCAGCAGAGCACGATGACTCAGAGGCATGGAGAAGCCTTGTGCTTTCTGAAACAGACGCCTTTGGGTCTTTTTTTGACATGCCAGCTCTTGAGCTTGAGCCAGATCCCGGAAGTTTGAGCGAACTTAATGAGCAACTTGCAAATGACCTTCCAGGAATTACAGGAGGTGGCCACGACATCTCCGAAGAGCTTCAAGCTTACGACACCACTTTCTTCACTTTTCCAGATGATCACATCCTCGAAGTCCCATCTCTGACCCTTCTCAACGCTGCTATGAGAGTTGCTGCGCAGCTCAAAGTTTCTGACATTATATGGGATATCGCGGCAATAAGTCCATTCTATCAACCATCATCCTCAAGCAGCTCTGATACCTCCCTCTCACCTCCAGCCCTGGAGTCTGGCTTGTCAACTTCAAGGCCGTCGCCCACAAACTCAAGCTCACAAGTCGATCTCACCGAGCTCCCCTTACATTTACAGCCAACTCGGACCCAACGTTCGATCGCCCACCATCCATTATTGGACCTGCTACCTTGGCCAGGTGCCCGGGACAAATTAATACAAGTCTTTCACCTCCCTGTCCACATGCGACCGGGCAATGCACAGGACCCGATGGGTCTTGTACGATTTGTTTACGACATGGAGGATGACAGTGGCGAAGGCGTGACGATTACCGGACAGAACCCGTTTGAACCAGGAACATGGGAGATAGGCCAACTTGTTTTTGAGCGGTGGTGGTGGGCATTTGACACAGGGGTGATTGAGGGAAGTAATCGATCTAGGAAAAACAAAGGCAAAGCAAGATTGGCGATTAACGCATAAATCGATTTCACCGAGTTAATTAAACAATTTTTTCAAATAAAAGTGCAAAGTCCAGAACTAGTTAAACAAACATCTACCTACACATGAAACTAGTAGCTACCCCAGCAACGATTCGATCAAAGAGGATCACCAGCATTGACAGCCTTTCCCGCGCGAATAAGCACCCAAATCGGAATGGAAATACTCCAAGCCCAAATACCAGTGCGTAGATAGCTCCCCAGCTCAGATTTAACACCCATATACACTGCGGTATACAGTACCCGCACGGCAAGATAGTCAAGAGCCATGTAGTTGAGATCTTTGGCCGGGAGTTTAGCCAGATTTCCCGCCAGCTAGTACCATAGTAGTTAGTATGTGACATATTTCGCTCCCAGCAAAATAGAAGGAGATTTCTTACCATTGCAGCGGCAAACATTGGGAGACCTTCCATCGCATTTAGATGTGCGCCTCTGGCTCGGGCGAGTTTATCCCAGACTTGAGTGGATATTTTTCCTTTCAGGTTTGTCAAGTTCTCTCGTGGTCTGAAAAATGTTAGTAAATTTAGCTGGATACTGGGACCTTGCGACTGACAAGATGTTGCTTGACTGGCCCTTTGCGTTGGCCATCATCTTGATAAGATAGTAGTTATGGGGGGCAAGACCCAGGCCATATGCGGCCACAATGGAGTGGATGGAGTAGTTGCTGCCAGACATGTTGCGATAGATACTTTGTTGGTCTTGATGATCTTGGTTTGCTTGTATGATTGTTTAGCCTGAAATCTACGTCTATGTGGAACAGATTCTTTATAGGCGAATTTTACATAACGTTAGATTTTGAGTCGGCGAGAAACGGGTTATGCGAATCCAAATTCTCATAAATAAATGAGAACTAAGCTAACCAGATACCTTGTCATCTTGTTAGTTTGGCAGGGTATTGATCTGGAAGTAGACCTGATTGGACGGCGTTGGAATGTAAGGCACCGCCCGAGCGCCAGCATAACGTTATGCTTCAGAAAATGATTGCAGGCCTTTGAGTTAGCTACCAAAGCACCAATCCACAATTTCGATCATTTCATCGCAATATTCATAAATTTACCATTTTAGTCATATCATTTCTATTATTCGAATGCTGCTTCACTGAACCCCAACTGACGTCATGTGATTGCTTACGGCTGACAAATAGTAGGACAAGGACAAACAGCCTTAGACTAAACTCCCTTGGTCTGTCAACAACACTCAAGTCGCTTCAATATCTCTCGAGCAAGTATCTAAATACCCCATTATGAAGAGTGTATTTATGTGAGTTACCCGGCATCGTTTTGAATGCACAGATATTGATCCAGCAGCAGCACTGGCGCGAGCGGGTATATTGGCGGGGATATCTTGTCCGAGTTAATCGCAAGATACCCCGAGCACAGCTACCGAGTACTCGTACGCAGTCAGGAAAGCGGACAAAAAATACAAAAAGTCTATCCCGGCATCAGAGTTATCCAAGGGGATCTGGATAATAGCGAGCTTCTTACTGCAGAAAGTGCCAGAGCGGACATCATCATCCGTAAAAACCCCGCCCAATGAATTAGAAGCTTCAATACCGTGCCTCGAACGAGGTGCGGCACAATAAACTGCTCGCTGGCTAACAAGATTAATTTTCTTTCTCTCTAGATACTGCCGATGCTGCAGACCACCTACCTGCAGCCCGGGCAATCGCCAAAGGTGCAATCCAGGGCCATACCCGGACAGACCGGTATACTGGCTGCACACGAGTGGAGCTGGTCTTTTGTCTTTCCACGATACCGAGAACAAAATATACGGAGAGCGGAGTGAAATAATTTATGACGATCTGCGAGACATCCAACAGATTCTCTCGTTCCCCGACCATGCCTTTCACAAGCTTGTTGACAAGGCAGTCCTTGAGGCGGGCACAGTATCGCCAACCACTCTCAGAACGGCAGTAATTGCCCCAACCACTGTCTACGGTATGTGCCTTTCCCGGTGCCGATCTATGGGGAAAGTTATATGATTCTAACAATTCACTTCAGGCAAAGGAAGAGGCCCTTGCTTCCAACGAAGCAGACAAGTGTATGAAATGTCGAAATTTATTCTTGAAAATTGCCAGATCCCCATCATTGGCAAGGGTCAAGCAATTGGGTCGAACATTCATGTTCACAGTGTGACATATCTTTTTATGCATTTCTTCGAGGTCGCCTTGCGGGGAGAAGGCGATGGTACTATCTGGGGTCCTGAGGCATACTATCTTGTTGAAGAGGGTGAGCATTGCTGGGGTGAATTGGCTCATTCAATTGGTGAAATAGCTCTCAAAAGGGGGTTTCTGAGAAATCAACCCAAGCAAATAGCGCTGGAGATGGATTCGGCTCAGGAATTAGCTGGCTTTGAGGCAACGAGTTGGGCGTATAACATGCGTTGTCGTGCGAGTCGGGCTCGCTCACTTCTCGGCTGGCAGCCCCGTGGGCCATCTTTAGAGGATGAGCTTCCGGGTATTGTTGACGAGGAGTTTGAGCGATTGAATGGGAAATAGAGGTAGGATTTCCCGTGTTTGTTAAATATACTATCCAGTGCAGATTTCGAAAGTTTATATGATATCTCTACAGTAATGCTGCTAAGGTACTAGTATTGTGATCTATGGAATCTTAATTACTGAGAGGCCCGTGGGATACCATTACTTGAGTAAGCGCGCAGCCTCCTGATTAAATAGAACACTCGTGTTTTCTAAAGCTGTGCCCAGTTGTCAAAATATCAAAAATAATATTTTCATACTTTCTCCGGTCTTGGCATCACGTGTGGATTCCGCGATGCGAAAGCGCGACGACAACGTGAACCAATTCACTTCACAAACCACAATGGCTTGGTCCCATCTGGTACGATCAGGCAGGGTATGTAGGCAGTCCATTTCAAGTCTCGCGTAAGTCTCGCGTAGGCCGATATTTTAACAAAAAGCACAGTTTCCCGCAAAAAAGATCTGTCCATCAAGCTTCCCGCGCAGATCCGCAGTACTGCAGACGAGGTTGATATCGATACATTCTGGAATTCAGGCGGCCAGACAGATTCAGCTGCAGGTTATTTCTCCGAAAACCCACATGCGTCAATTCCATTCCACTTTGCCCACCATGGCGAGTATACCCTCGGAACTGAGAAAGACCCTCACCCCTGCACTCCTCGATGAGGTCCGCGACTTCTGGTTCTCTCATTTCAGCAACGAGGATGCATTAATTCTCCCCGGTATGGATGAAATGATGAAATGGTTCAAGAAAGACGAGGAATTCGACAATGCCTGCGTGTGAGTATCCAAGCCTTGTCCTACACCCTCAACACAGCTGACAAATACTCCCACAGTGCACAATTCCAGCCAGCCCTGGAGTCAATTCTCGCCTCCGGTGCATCCGCGACGGATATTCTTGATGCCTTTGACTCAAAATCACCCTTGACCTGGCTCAGCCTGATAATCCTGTTGGACCAGGTACCCCGGAACTGCTACCGTGGCGATAAGTCGAAGCTAGTCTTCGAGCGGTTCGACCCGCTCGCGCAGGAGATTGCACTGCGTGGCATCAAAGCCGATGTGCCCGTTCAGTCCTCTCATATGAGATATCGCCTCGCGTATCGCTTCTGGTTCCATCTTCCCCTGATGCATTCAGAGAGCCTTGCTGTTCATGAGCAGGCCATTAAGGTCCACGAGGATACCGCGAGGGACATGGAAGAGCTCCTGCAGAAGGATATCAAAACTCTTGACGAAGATGAGAAGATGTGCTACAGTTTTCTCTCTGGTCAGAAGGATGCTCTTTCGGAATATCTCAGTAATGGGTTGGACTTTGAGAAGAGACATAAGGTTATCATTGAGCGATTTGGACGGTATCCTCATCGGAACCCAGCGATGGGAAGGGAGCCGACTAAGGAAGAAATAGACTACCTGGAGAATGGGGGAGAAACCTTTGGATAAATCGTCATATGCATGATCCAAGGGTAGTAATTGGTGTAGATCGGGTGCAATGTACATTAAGTGAGCATCAATGTTCCTCTGCCATATAGTCAATATAATAGCAGTACTATTAAACGGTCGGCACCAAGTGTGCATGTACAAAGAAACCAATGCTTTGAATGATATTCAATTGATAATAATGTGCTGCATACTATGTGCATCCCCGGTCGGTGCCAGAAGTAGCCCCGATCCTCCGAATCCCCCGCAAAGCAGCCACGAGGCGGTCGGTTTCCCCCCCAAATCGCCCCCAATTGCCGATCTGCTCGTCTCCATCACCAATAAGATCATCCATCCACTCTAGTCCTCTACGCCCGGGACCCTTTTATCTCGGCTATGATTATCTTACCTTGTCCGAGCTGATTCGTGGAGCGGGTGCAGCGGAATCAAGTCCGACACTGCATTGATAAGGACAGCGTCCCATCCCCCAAGCCTCAGGACACAAGCAATCAATTCCTCCAGAGATAACGCCATAAGTGGACCGGGAACTGAGCTACCCGACCCCAATCTCCAATTCTCCAATACTTGGCTAGCTTGGCTATCTTAGCTGTTTAATTGAGCTCCTTCTTCCTTGCAACAACATACCCAAGCGAAACCTGCGTGATCAATCAATTGGTGGCTGCGATCGAAGAAAAACACTTGAAAATGGAGACAACCACTCGTCCGGTCCAGAAATCCCTCGGTGCCCTCGGTTCCATCCAGGGTCTTACCATCAGTTCGAATTCTCAAGATCTATGTCACTACTTTGGCGCCGTCCGCTATGCTCTTCCGCCACTGCAACGTTGGCGACGGGCGCGTCGGCTTTCTGCATCATTCAGATATGGAACGCCGCAGGCACCGAGTCAGTGTGATAAGGGTGCCGGCTTGTGTCCACAGCCCGCATTCGAGCCTCTTGTGCCGGAGAACCCAGACGCATGGGCTGAAGATTGCTTCCAGTCCAATATCTGGGTCCCAACAGGCTCGCCGCCAAAAGAAGGATGGCCTGTATTTGTATTTATCCGTAAGTTGACTCTCTTATGACAATGAGCTTGAACCCGGAACATCACTAATATCACTCCTGATTCAGACGGCGGCTGGCTTCAATTTGGTTCACCAAACGGCTTTAATGCGGCTGCTCTTCTAGGCGAGACAGACTTCAAGGCCGTGCTCGTGCTACCTGCCTACCGTGTCAATCTGTTCGGCTTCCTACACTCGTCCGAACTGGCGCAGGACGCCGCCGCAGTTGGCGAGACAGTCGGTAACCACGGCTTCTGGGACCAGAGACTTGCACTCGAGTGGACGAAGAAAAACATCCACCTCTTCGGCGGTAATGCTTCAAACATCACGATCTCGGGCTACTCAGCAGGCGCAAACTCAGTCTTCCACCAGCTCGCCTATGACCTCCGCCAACCGGATGATCAGATTATCGTCCGCCAAGCAATAATGTTCTCCAACTCACCAGCCGTGCAACCAAAGAGGCCAGCAGAAACCCAAATCCAATTCAACCAACTCCTAGAAGCACTCTCGATCCCACAAACCCTCAGCGGGCCCGAGAAGCTCGCTCGTCTCCGCGCCCTACCGCCCAAAGCCCTCATCGACGCAACAAAGGCCATCGAAGTGCACCAATTCCGCCCAGCAACAGATGGAGGCTTCATTCTGCCTTCCCTCTTCACTTCCCTTGACAACGGCGACTTCGCCGCCAAGCTCGTCTCCCGAAATATCCGACTAATGCTGGGCGAATGCAGCGAGGAGTCCCACCTGTATGCTATCTGGTTCCCTCCCAAGGCGAATACCTTTTCCGCTCTGCGGACTCGACTCATTGCCGATTACCCCGAACACGTCGTCGATACGGTCCTACCTTTACATTATCCGACCGGCCAGCTGCCTGCGGGATGTAAGAATTGGGATGTGGACGCGTGGGGCCAGATCTATGCCGATATGCAGGTGTATCAAATGCAGCGCGGACTCATCCACGCTCTAACCTCTAACAAAGCCGGTGTCGACGCGAGTCATCTGATATACCGTTACCGAATCGAGTTCCTGGCCTCGTGCATGGCGGCTAAAATGCCCGCTGAATGGGGCGTGACGCATTCTTCGGATTATCCGCTGTGGTTCTGGGGTAATGGGGATGTTTTGACGGAGTCTGAGAAAAAGGTTACTCACAAGGCGTTTATCGGGCCGTTGGCGCGGTTTGTGCAGAATGTTAGACAGGATGACTTTGGGTGGGGGACTAGTGGGTTTGGCGTGCGGACGATGAGGAAAGATGGAAAGGTGGACATTACTCGCGATTCGAGGTGGGAGGAGGGTGTTAGGGTTTGGAAGGCTGTCAGGGCGGCGGATTTGGGGCTGTCGAAGCCGAAGTTGTAAGTTTATATTGATGATGTGCAGTGTAAATAGATCTAGAGTCAAGTTACTTGGCATAGCAATGGTACCATACAACAAACGTTAAACTCGGAAGCCACGTCCCAGCAAGCCCAAACAACAACACCCTCCTATTCCTTCGTACTTTTCCTGATCACCTCTCTGCCTAGGGCAAACTTGATCCCATCTAGAGCTATTACGATCAAACAAAGAGATCCAACGAACTGCGAACTCCTGCAGATGTACGCGTCCGAACTCTCCGTTGCCGCTAAGTTATTTGGACTTCGAATTTCAGGACTTTCAAGCCATGATATCCGACGTGATGGTTGTCGGGGCCTTCAGATACCCCAGAGAAAATTGCGAATTTGTTCCTCCAGAACTTGTCAGAATTCCGCCAAGTCGTTCACAGGACTCATTCTGCCTGTCTGCACTGGGGCGCAACTTTCCTCTTCCCACGATCTATGTTAAAGCTTTGGCAGACGTCTTCAAGCCATGTCTATATCCGGATATCGCAAATTGACGCCCGATCTGAAGCTGGCTCATCTGCTAGACGCGAAAATCGCGAGAATTTCCCCAATCTGTCGAGGGTACAGTGGCGACCGCTATCGCCTTCCATGTCGGAGACATAGAGACGCTGTTTCAAACCCTAACCACATGATATACTAAGCCATATATGGATAGGACGTAAAGGCTCCGTATTGTCCCTTACCGTGTAATATATACCAGAGATTTAAGTGACCAGTATGGAAGATACGTGGTCTAGAACTAGAAGTTTAAGGGACTGGAAGGTTCGGTGCAAACTCAGAAAACATGGGGGGTCTCGAGCAGGCAATCCGCCGACAATTCTCGTCTGCACCTTGCAGCTGTTTTACTGCAGAGCGCTCACTTTTTGGGAAGTTAGACCAGGGCCAATCTGATAGGTAAGGCTCTACAGTAAGGCTTATCCATGATGTTTGCCACTGCTTATCACTATGCCAAAGCTTTGGAGCTCAGTGGATACCGTTCCAGAGATCACTGGCTAACTCTTTGTGGTTCGTTTGCTAGGTCTCACCTCACTCTAAGATCGCCACGATGACCAATAGTCTTTGCGATGGCGATGCATACCAGCCGCGGGCAATCGGCGAATGGGATGAGAACTCTGAATATGCCCCCACCCCGGGCTACTTTGGTCGTACACCCAGCGCGCTCTCTCCTACCCCTACCCCTGATTATGCTACGAATTATGTGCTGTCAGATCAGCTCGAGTTTCTCCCGTTAGCTGAATGGGATGAAGACTTCGAATATGACGAGCAACCCCCAAGATATATCTCCTATACGATTGCGTGGAAACTTGTTATCAATAGCAAGACGGTAGGTAGTGTAAGCGAAAAGGATCTGGTGATAGCTCCCGGTGATTTCTGGATAACAACTTTGGGCCTAGCTATAGAACAGATGCTATAGATGAAAAAGAAAGATGGCTAGCGTACTCGATCTGAGGGTACGGCCATTACGGTTAAAGCAGACGACTGCTCTTAAAAAAACCTTAACAAATTTTGTCATTCTACTATCGACTAGAAGCCGGTTGAGAAGCAGCTACGTAAATGGCGCAACTTAGTTCGGATAGGTAAACTGCTCATAATTGTTATTGCCTTTTATTATAGGTGCAATGATCGTGATTACAGTACGGCCGTCTTAAGACGAGGAGAAAAAAGAGGCCGTGTGTCAGCGACTAGCAGAATGTTGGCAGAGCGTGATGTACTGATAAATACGGAAGAGGAAGCCACTGGACAATCCCTAACTTAGACCTTTGTTTATGACCTAATGAGCTGTGAACTCTGCTTATACCTACTTAGATCTGATTGGTGCTGGGAAGATCCTAAGGATAAGAAACACTATAAATTGCGGACCCTACATCTAGAGCGACCAATTAAGTATGTTGATGGCGGTGGCAGTCTAGCTAGTTATGATGATGTTCTACGTGATATTCGCCGAGACCTGGCTCTGGAAAGTCAGACCGGAAGGAAATCGAGAAAGACCGATATATCGACAGTTGGATCACTATAGCCTCCCGCTATTATTAATGTTCTGCTAGCACAAAACGCTAGTACTCCTATAGCTACTTTATCTTTATACAGACCCTCTATTGGCCAGCCTATCATTATTCCGGGACCCCGCGAGGTATCTATTAGGAAATACTGTAAATAGCTGGAATTATGCGCTGTTGAAGAGGCATATAAAGCTGATTTCTGTAAAATATACCAGGTAGTTTTGCAAAACTCCCTAGATCTTAAACTAATTCTCGAGGATCCAGACTCTGGCTTCTTTGTTCAGCAAGGGATCCGAATTAGGACTGCTCGTCCTTTCCTACGTGATATAAATGAATGGGTTACTGCGATAGAATTAAATGAGATTTAATTAGACTGGTCGTATAAATTCTTGGCGGCTGCAGAATAGTGTTATTTCCCTAATCTGGTCAGCTCTATATTAGATTAAGCAGTTTTAATGTGTGTAGTGCATAAATATATAATACATATTGGCTTATGTATCCCTTAGATAACGTATACTTAGGTTTATTTTTTATATCTGAATCTTTATTAATTATATGTACGCACAAATAGTTTATTATCTAGCACAGTCTGTATACAATAATGCTGTAAGCAGGTTCTCTTAGAGCATAAAGCACTCGATCCTCTGTAATAAGTATAAAATCAACGTTATTACTGTGTGATTAAGCTCTCTCTTCTTATTATACGTCTGACAGTCGCTTATACCTTCTCTATCGTTATACCTGTATACCGGAAATAACCCTCAGCGCTCTGCTGTTTTGTGCTAATATTATCAACGTACCGCCGAAGGAAGATATAGAATTCCTGTTTTGGATTATATTTATATGCTGACTATACTTTTTTAATATAAGCTTTTAGCTCGGCAAAGAACTCCTTGATCAGGTTAAAATCTGGTGAATAAGGTAGCAAAAACAATAATTTGATACCAGCCTTAGAACATAACTGCTTAATTCGATCTGAATAATAGACAGAAGCATTGTCCATAATAAGTACGGATTTTGGTTCTGGCTACCTTCTATAATGCTGAAGAAGTTGCTCAACGACCGATTCGAATAACTTAGCATCGGTTGATCCTTTAAAGATACGAGACAGGATAACGCTATCTTACGTATAAGCTGGCAGTATCTAGTAGCGTTGGCCTCAGTGGAATTTAGATACCTAGACTGGCGTTACGTCTAGAGGTGACCAACCGGTCCGCCTATACCCCGTCCGTTTATTATATCCTGATTTATCAACAAAAACCAGGTGATATAAGAAAAATGCGGATAATTTATGCTGGTAGAAACCTCGTAGTTAGGGGTTCTGTTCCTTTGCTTTCTGTTGTATTTTCTTTTTTGACTAGCCAGCCTAGGCGAGAGTACATTTAATGCTCGATAGCGACGGCAATATATTGAATTTGTCTTAGATAAAGGTGGCTATCTCTTCAACATAATGACCTGGGTTCTGGTGTAGGTAATTGCGAAGGGTATCTAGCATTACCCCTGTGATGCTTAATGGCCGACCGGCAGGAACAGGAGGGGGTTTAGGGCTACCGAAGAGTTGCATTTTCCTGCGTATATTAGCGACAGTGCGCTTGCTACACTTGGCCGCTCTTGTAATTTGTAAGATAGTAAGTCTTTTCTTGCTTTCCATTATATGAACAATAGCTTTACGCTGCCAGGAATCGATGTTTCGTGCTATTTTGGCGCGAGTTATGATATTGTTAGTGCTGGAGTTGGGAGAGCTGCGTAAGTTGTGTTGGGGCGGTGGGCGTCTGTATTCCTAGGGCTATAATGTTGATTATATTCAAAAAATGTTTTAATTCCATGTCCCCCTACTTATTACTCTTTCATTCTGGCTTAGAACGGATTCTATAAATACCGCTATTACTATATCTGGATTAGTTTGACATATGATAAGAATATTGACGTGGAAGAGCTCTCTCTAATCGAAATCATATGATGCACTAGGCCAGATGTGAATAGCGCGTACAACTTGTTTTCTGCCTTACTAGTAATAATTAACAGAGCTTAACCATACTAGTATAGGAGATACAAGGGTCTAGATTCTTGGACGACTAGAAATTTCGCTGCAACCCGAGCAAACACCGCAATCCCTCAACAGGCAATCTGTCATCAATTTCTATCCCCACCGCCCAGAAATAATTGGGCGTGAGAGTCTCACATCTCAGCACACTCTCCAACCCCTGCCCCTCCCCCAAAGCCTAGACATCGGCCTTCCAGTCTCGTAGGCTAACTGTACAGAGTCTATCATGTCAGCTAAACCCCCTCTCTCCCATGGCGATTACACGGTCGGTTGGATATGTGCCTTGCCCCTGAGAGATGGCAGCTGCGAAACTGATGTTAGACACAATACACCCGAACTTACCTCGTCCGCCGACCGATCAGAACACATATATCTTGGGAAGGATCGGGGAACACAATATCGTGATTGGTTGCTTACCAGTTGGCGCATATGGCACTGTATCAGCTGCAACGGTTGCGATGCAGCTGCTCTCAAGTTTCCATTCCATCCGGTTTGGGCTAATGGTCGGTATCGGTGGAGGCGTACCAAGCAGCAAGAGAGATATCCGACTAGGCGATATTGTGGTGAGCCAGCCAGCGGACACTTCTGGAGGTGTAATCCAATACGATCTTGGTAAAGCGTTAAGCGGCGGTCAGTTCCAGTGGACAGGGATGCTAAACCGACCACCGAAGGTTCTGTTAACAGCCGTCGCTACATTGCAAGCCTATCACTTGACCGAGGACAGCCGGATCCTTGATTTCGTTTCTGAAGCCCAAGCCAAAATGAAACCTCACAGAGCCGCGAACTTTGCTCGACCTACCCGGGAAGATTGTTTATACCAGGCAGAATATGACCATAAAGGATCCGATACATGTGTTAATTGTGATCAATCGAAGCTCGTACCACGTTATCCTCGAGGCCATGAAGAGCCAATCATTCACTATGGACTTATTGCGTCGGCAAATCAGGTAGTGAAAGATGGTAGGCTACGAGATAGGCTGGCCAAGGAATTAGGGGTATACTGTGTAGAGATGGAAGCGGCGGGGCTTATGAACGACTTCCCATGTATAGTGGTTCGGGGCATCTGTGACTATGCTGATTCACATAAGAATAAAGAGTGGCAAGGATACGCGGCAAATGTGGCGGCAGCCTATGCCAAAGAGCTTCTGTCAATCGTTCCCGTCGATCAGATTGACAACAGCCCAACGGCACGAGACACTCTAGCAGACTCCGGTGAGAAGTCCTAAACTTAATCTGACGGTTTCCAGAATTAGATGCAATTGATTACTGATAAGCTGTTATATCTGTAGTTCACCCCTTTAATGTCCCCTTAGACCGTACGGCAGTGCCTGTGATTGACAGCTTTGTGGGGCGGCAAGATGATTTAGATCACCTCTGGCAGTATTTACAGCCGACAGATTCACCGTCACGGAAAGTTGCTATTCTTCACGGGCTTGGTGGGATGGGAAAGACACAGCTAGCGATTCGCCTCGCACGAGATCATAAAAATGATTTCACCGCTATTACGGAGGAAGGCAAGCAAGCTCCACCCCGCGGGTGCGAGCCAGTTCGGCCTGAAACTCCTCCGCCACTTATATATCCAGATGGCATAAAAATCTTACATGACTGCCCGGATGCTGCAGTTGATATTTGCTTTGTCCACGGTTTGACGGGTGATCGGGAAAACACTTGGACCGCAGATGGCCAATCGATTCCCTGGCCGCAAGCACTTCTCCCGTCAAAACTCGACCGAGCTCGCATTCTGACCTACGGCTATGACGCTTATATAGTTCGGAAATCAGTTGAATCTTCAGACCGATTGATTGATCACGCCACCAACCTTTTGGTCGATCTTGCGTTAGATCGAGATCTGAGCAAGGCGACTTCTCGCCCTCTCATTTTTGTCTCGCATAGTCTAGGTGGTTTGGTCTGCAAACGGGCTATCCTCCTATCGCGCAACAATCCAGAACCTCATCTTCAGAACATATTTGATGCACTCAAAGGCGTGGTTTTCGTGGGGACACCACATAAAGGCGCGTGGATGGCGGACTGGGCTAAAATCCCTGCATCTGCACTTGGCTTCGTGAAGTCTTCGGATGTCTTCCTTCTCGACGTCTTGCAGAGAAACAATCAACTACTTGAGTCGGTTCAAGTCGACTTTCTGGCCATGATTCGGCAACTGCGCGAAGAGGGTCGGGGCCTCGAGGTGACCTGCTTCTTTGAAGAGCTCCCTATACTTGGAGCTGGAATGATCGTTTCAAAAGAGTCTGCTACGTTTGAAGGCTATGCGGCTCGGAGCATCTATGCTAATCACCGGGATATGGTCAAGTTTTCGACGGCGGAGGATAACGGTTTCAAGAGAATACTGTGGGAGCTCACCCGATGGACATCAAAAATTGGTGAGGATTTCTCAAGGCGATCAGAAGGCGTAAATCTGATTAGCAATAGATAACTCTCCACTTGGTCACAAATTCACAAACAAAGCTACACCAAATACTGAGAATCGAGAACCTTCACAGAATCTATGGATGGCAAATTTCAGTGACGACAAAAGTCGAATCAAGAATAGGGAGGCCGGAATATTGAAAGATTTGGATCGCTGGGTCCTCGAGAACGGTGACTATAAACGAGGATACTACGATAAGGGACCACGCATCCAAACCCTACGGGGCCATAGCGAATCGCTCGAGTCGCTTGCCTGGTCCACGGAAGGAGACCGACTAGCATCGGGATCGGTGAATAACACGGTCAGGATCTGGGACCCAGCCACTGGACAATGTATATCAACCCTTGACAGTCAGGGTACATACAACCTCGAGGAGAACATTAACCTGGCTATATCGATCGCCTGGTCACCGGACGGAAGTCGATTGGCGTCTGGTTCACATAATAGCAACATCAAAATCTGGGAACCATCCACTGGTCGGTGCTTATGGACTCTCAAGGGGCATACCAGCTTTGTATTGTCTATTGCTTGGTCATCGGATGCGAAGAAACTCGCATCTGGGTCAGATGATAACACAATCAAGATCTGGGAGCTTTCGACGACCGCGCAACGCACCTTGACTCTTAGGGGGGCACAAACATTGGGTTAGATCGGTTGCCTGGTCGCCAGATGGACGTCGGCTGGCTTCAGGGTCCTACGATAACACAGTTAAAATATGGGACCCGGCTACCGGGGGTTGCATATCAACACTTGAGGGGCATAGCGATTTGATCAGATCGATTGCGTGGTCGCCGAATGCATACCGACTCGCATCAGGGTCAAACGACAACACTGTCAGGGTGTGGGATCCAGTATCAGGAAAGTGCACGACGATGCTCGAGGGCCATAGAGATTGGGTCAGGGTAATTGCCTGGTCACCAATGGGAGGTCGACTAGCATCCGGGTCATACGACAATAGTATCAGGGTCTGGGACCCAGCCTCCGGGCAATGCACGAAAATCCTTGAGGGACATAGAGATTGGGTCAGGGTAATTGCCTGGTCGCCAGGGGAACAGCGAATCGCATCAGGGTCGTGTGATCAAACTGTTAGAATCTGGGATCCGGCCTCCGGACAGTGCACAACGATACTTGAGGGGCATAAAGATTGGGTCAGGTCGATAAAATGGTCGCCAAGGGGGAAAAGACTAGCGTCTGCATCGGATGATGATACAGTCAGAGCCTGGCACCCGGCCAAAGGGGTGTGTACATTAATACTTGACATTTGTTCTCCTGATGCTCTTCCTATCTGGAATCCACCGCCTCTACCTTAGAAAGAAATCGAGCATGGGACAGCCACATCCTAGACAGACCTCTATTTTATTTTAGATTGAAAAGGCTGGACGAAAATATGACATGAAAAGATCTAACTTGAATTGAACGGATTTCAGAAGTAATAAATGCTAAGATTATGAGCATAAGCTTAAAGGCGTATGTAAGGGCTCGGGTTGAAATAATATTCATGTAGTATTGACGAAAATTAATAAAGCTGAAGAAAGGAAAGAGAGGTAAGCTCTCGCGCGATTGTTATGGTACAGATGGAACAGACGGTTGTGGTCACGTGATCGGACACGTGACTCCGACAACACCAGTTCGTTACAGCGTATGCCGAATTTTGGATAGAATGTACTAGCCAAAAGGCAGGCTCAGACGAAAGCAAAAACCAAGCTCTACAAATATTCATAAAATAAAAATATGCAATAGCAGGGATGCGCAAGTGATCACTCGCGGTACTACTAACCTGCCGGTGTGTGGCAATATGTGGCTTAGACACGTTCAGTAGTCGGGTGCCTCCCTCCTGGGTGAGAACGGGTGGGTGCCACTGTAGCGCCGCACTATTGGAATATCCCGGTTGCTGAGATAATCATGAGGCTGGGATCATGTGCTGTGTTTTCTCGTGTGTTATTTACCATGGGCGTAGTGAAACAATGAAAGAACCTAAAACTGTAAGCTTGGCAAGTGAGCTCCTGCATCTGCGCAAGCTGTATCCAACGTAGGGTATTCTAATTTAGGGTTACAGAAACAGCTTCTCTGTAGAAAATAGAAGCCAATTTCGAACCCGAGTGTAATAGAACGTGTTGGCTTTGTGGGATATATTGAATATTTCTCAACTATACTCTATCGTTTAAACAGCGATCTTCCGTTACCAGGCACTGAGCTTTCATGCTCTCCTGAGATGTTCGGTTGGTCCGCTCATATTTAGATGACGGCATTTTGAAGTAGTATCTTAAGGCCTGTAACAATACCATAAAATACCTTACTAAGTCTTTTACTCGTTTTGCATTATACTATTCGATTTCCGTACAGGCATTAAATTACGCTCGTGACTATATCGGGATTAGCATGGCATGTGATTAGGGTTTGAAAGAGTGTCTTATATGTTGTCAGGCACGGAAGGCGATAGCGGTCGCCACTGTATCGGCAGCGTCCACATGTCGAAAGATTATCCCAATCCACCAATCCTTTTCTTTGTCGAAATTGCTACTGCGAAGATAGAAGTGAAGTAGATCTACTACTTATGACAATGCGAATCACACGAAGCATTTCATTGATCCCCTCCCATCGTGCGGGTATGGAACCTCAATGTCCAAAATTGCATCATAAATCAGCACCCCAGCAACCCGCCAGATCCAATCTAAACAGCAGTGCCTTCAATCTGCCCACTATGAGACGAGAATATTATCTCTGGGCCCTGTGATACAAGTTCAGAAGATAAAAACAGATCGGGCAGACCGATAGCCTATCTTGAGTGGACAGACAGCACCCTCTCTCTCAACATAGGACCAAATCTGGACTCCAATATTGGAATCCTCGCGGTACACCCATCTCCTGCCCCAATTCCAGATGATATCCATTCGTTGTCCAACTCACAGACTTGATGGAGTCTCAAGCTCAGCCTCCTCCGCGTGGATCTAGACCCATGCTGCGGGACATTACAGATGTGCAACAATGGCCCTCCTCGTTTACTCCCAAACAAAGAGAACACTGACCATGGTGCAAGGGTGGAACCAGAACAACTCCAAGCTTCGTGTGCTGGAATCAAACTCACAACGCGACTCTCGGCCAATCTGCACGCTTGGTAATTCTCTAATTTCTGGCAAGCAATCACCTTATAGCCCCGAAAGATGTTCTGGTCGCTGCCATGCACGACCAGCACGTTGAACAAATCTCTCGCCTCCGAGGTGAAATTGCCGAACTACATGAACGGAGCCGCCGTCTAGCCGACAATTTTCGCGAAGTCCGAAATACAGCCCTCGACTACCGTGCACGTATTGCCATGCTTGAGGCTGCCCCTTTCCCAAACGTCGAATACAATGACCCTCCCACCTGCAGACGATGAGTCTACCGGAAGAGTTGTTCGTGGTCAAGATGATACACCTGTCGCAAGGCGTCTTCCTTAATTTATGTCTCCCTTGGACCAAGAAGGACGCATCTAAGTCGAAGCCGGATGTAGTGCAGTGGATCGAGTATCTCGGCATCTTCATGTATTTCCAATGAAATCAAGCTACCGCTAGTGGTAGTGGTATATCCTCAAGCCGCCGTATTCTAACTTGAGTGTCTCCAGAAACCTCTTCTCACATCAAATACCTAAATATTGTTCAAGGTCTCTTCGCATGTTTACTTTCTCCGAGTCGCTCGCTCGCTTTCCCAGGTGCTCTCAGTACCTGTGCTGGTCTCTCTCTCAATATCGTGTGTGTGCGCGCAAACACACACACACATACTGTACACACACAACTTGTTCCATGCCAGCCTCATAATTCACAGTTTTACTTAATCGACAACCTTCTCCCTCCTCCACAAGTCATTTACACCATCATGGCTCCCAAGAAGCTTTCCCGCAACCATGCTCTCTGGCTTATAGAGGTAACCTTGAAATGACTTTCAATGACCAGCAACGACTCGAAAGCAGTGGTCTACGAGATGAAAGAAACACTTGTCAAAAAATGCAGCTGTCTGAGAGAGCAAGCTTCCTGGAGTACATACAGTAGCTAGAACGAATACATCCTGGTACCGGTACCTATCCCCATATACAATTCACTATTGTAATCGAAGTACCGGTACATAAACTCAATTTGCCATCGAGCTTTCCCCGCATTCCGCAAGTTACGTCAAGCTACAGGGAAACACATCCACCAGCACGAATAGCAACGAAGGGATGTACCTAACCTGTTGATCTGAAACTCGGTCTAATTCCAGACCCTGGATTCAGCCAATAATGCAGCACGTATTAGGGGCCCAGTTACGAGTCACCGTATCGGGAGCTGGACCTGGATGCTGGATCAACTAATCATAGAGCTGCTATCATGCAGAATAATTGGGGTGCTCAAGGTTCAGGTTCACTACACATGTACTGTAAAGTAAATATTCTGCCTGCCAATCACCGAGCTCGCTACGTGAAGCGCAAAAGTCCGGGTAACACGCGACCAGTTGAATGAGAGGGCATTTATAAGCCTGTCGTTCCCCTCTCGAATCCTACCCTTTGTCCTGCTGAGCTTCATTCTACTCGTATCATCAAGATCTTGAACCTTGGAAACAAACTTGAATCAGATCGGTGAGTATTTCCCTTTCTCATAACTCATATCTCACCAAATCCAATCTTGATTTTCCTCCCATCCCATTCATGCATCTACTTTGCTTGATAACTCCGCCTCGTCATCACGGATGCACCCGCATACCAAACCCATCCCCATGACGTCTTCGACTCGTCTTCCCTACTCCTCTCATCATATCGTCCATAATCCTTTTAAAAAACACCCCATCCTCTCACATACAACTAACCTACAATCCTAAGAAATTCACTACAATCACCCAACCCACTACTCTATACATCCATCATGTCAGACGATACCCGCCGCCACTGGCACGGATCATCCGGCAATCGCCACGAACACCACAACGCCTGGGTCGCCGGCGGAGCGAAAGGTCCCGCCGGACGCGCCCCTTGGGCTCTAACACCTGAAATGATGAGCAATTTAAATGCCAGACGTGTAAGTTTCCCTTTAAGTTCTCGGGGTGTCTCTCGGGTCTCTGGTCATACTATGCCAAGCACGCCTAAACCTGGGGAACCCCACCCCCACCCAAGTCCCAACTATAACTTGAACATATCCATCCCCTTGCCATAACCATAACCATAACACATGAATAAACCACCACACCCTGTACATACTAATAGTAACTATCAGGAATCCACCGGCTCAACACACTCAAACTCCTCCGCCACCGCAGACTCCACCGCCGGCGCATCCGCACACACCCAAAACCAAACCCCCAACCCACCAACAGTCAGCGAACGCCGACGCTCAAGTGCCTCCGGAAACAACGGACCAGGTCTATTTTCAAATCTGCAGACGCAGAAGCGTGAGGGTGGTGGGTCCGATATGGCGGGGAGAAGGGCTAGTTGGAATGAACAGTCTGCTAAGGGTGGGGTTTTTTCGAAACTTTGGCAGGATTATACGAGGGGTCATTAAGTGATGCAGGCACTGTATGCACTGCGGTGCAGTGAAGTGAAGTGAAGTTGGATGCTGAGGGGAAGAAGACTGGGTGTTCTTTTTTTTTCTTCTTTTCTTTTCTTGTACTCGAGTTTTGTTGTTTTTTTTATCGTCAATTTGATTCTATGAGTAAACTTGAACACGAGTCTTGTTTCATGGTTCATTTCGGATGCGGGGTGGATGTGGTGATTGAACTGGTTTGACTTGTTCAAGTCTATTCCGAGTGTTCATGATCCCTGTAGAACTTTGCCTAAACAGCTACTACTACTACTACTCGTAGTGCCAGTGGTTCAAAGTAAGTTGCTAAGCTTTTGGTCCTATACAACGATCCACTACTCTACATCATCTACATTACCTACACACCACGACAAAACAACCATAGTTAGAACCAATCGTAAACCAGTAGGACATTTATCTATGTAGTCTACCTCTACCAGACCAGACAATATTGAAAGCTATTCATTCAAGTTCGGTAAATTCGTAAAAGAAAAAGAGAAAAGAAAACGCAAAAGCCAACAGCAAGCCAAAGCCAAAGCCAATACCCAGTGGGATCAAACGCTATCGTTCATATCGTGTAAAAACCAAGACACGTCTTATACACAAAAGAAAAACCAAAAAAAAGCAGCAAATCCTTTTTTTAAAAAGTCAAGGCAAGTCCGTATTAAGCCTTGCTGATCTTGCAGACCAGGTCTTGGCTGTCGACTGAGTCGCCCTCCTTGACTTGGAGGCTGGAGACCTTTCCGCTGTGAGGAGCAGAGATGACCATTTCCTGAGAGAAAAGTTAGTAAATGATTTGCAAATACGGATGAAAGGGCTGGTTGATAACTTACCATCTTCATGGCGCTCAGCACCGCAATGGGGTCACCCTTCTTAACCTCGTGGCCGTCGTGGACACGGATCTCAACAACAACACCGCTCATAGGAGCACCGACCTGGCTGCTGTCGGCAGCGTCGGCCTTGGGGCGGGCAATGTTGTCGACGGAAGCCTTCTGGTCGTCGACACTGACCTGGCGGACTTCACCGTTGACCTCGTAGAAGACCTCACGCTGACCAGTCTGCTCGGAGAGAGGACCGATGGCAAGCAACTTCAGAATAAGCACCTTACCCTTCTCCAGCTCGACGTGGAACTCCTCGCCGATCTCGGGACGGGCCAGGAAGAAGCGCGTAGGCAGGACAGACAGGTCACCGAACTTGGACACGAACTTGCGGTAATCCTCGAAGACCTTGGGGTACATGGCGTAACTGGCAACATCGCACTCGGTCGCGGCGCCGAACTTCTCGCGGATCTCGTTCTTGATCTTGGTCAGGTCCAGAGGTTCCAGGTACAGACCAGGGCGCTTGTCCAGCTTGCGGCGGTTGCGGAGGGCGTTGGAACGCAGGGGCTCGGGGAAGCCGCCGAAGGGCTGACCCATCAGACCCTCCAGGAACTCCAGGACAGAGCCGGGGAAGTCCAGCTCGGCGGCGCGGGCAACAACGTCCTCGGAGGTCAGCTTGTTGGACACCATGAACTGGGCCAGGTCACCGACGACCTTGGAGGTAGGGGTGACCTTGACGATGTCGCCAAGCAGGTCGTTGGCGGCCTCGTAGGCTTTCTTGGTCTCGGCCCACTGCTGGCCCAGACCCAGCTGGCTAGCCTGGAAGATAAGGTTGGTCAATTGACCACCGGGGATCTCGTGCTCATAGACCCTGGGGTCAGGTCCAGTGAGACCAGCCTCGAATGGAGAGTAGAGGAGACGGAGCTGCGCCCAGTAGGCGTCCAGAGCGCGGACCTGGGCAATGTCCAGGTTGGGGTCCTGCTCAGTGCCGCTGAGGGAGGCCAGGATGGCACCAATGCTAGGCTGAGAGGTCATACCGGAGAGACTGTCAGTGGCAGCATCGACGGCGTCAGCACCAGCCTGAGCGCAGGCAATCATCGAAGCAACACCGGTACCGGCGGAGTCGTGAGTGTGAACGTGGATGGGGAGGTCGGGGTAACGCTCGCGGAGAGCACCGATCAGCAGACGGGCAGCCTGGGGCTTCAGGACACCAGCCATATCCTTGATGCCGAGAACGTGAGTACCCAGCTTGACAATGCGATCAGCCAGAGCGAGGTAGTACTCCAAGTTGTACTTCTTGGTGGGGTTCAGCATGTCACCGCTGTAGCAGATGGTGGCCTCAACCACACCGCCGGCCTCCTGGACGGCCTTGATACCGACCTCGAGCTGGTCAACGTCGTTGAGGGCATCGAAGACACGGAAGATATCAACACCGTACTTCTTGGCCTGCTTACAGAAGTGGTAGATGGCGTTGTCGGGAAGGGATGAGTAGGCAACACCGTTGGCGCCGCGCAGCAGCATCTGGAAGGGGATGTTGGGAACAGCCTTGCGGAGCTTGCGCAGACGGTCCCAGGGGTCCTCGTACAGGAAGCGCATGGCGACGTCGAAGGTGGCACCACCCCAGCACTCCAGGGAGTAGGCGTTTTGCAGAGCGTGGCTGGTCTCGTGGGCAATGTTAAGCATGTCAATGGTACGCACGCGAGTGGCGAGCAGAGACTGGTGGGCATCACGCCAGGTGGTGTCCATGATCAAGCAGCCCTTGTTGGCACGCACTGCCTTGGCAAAGGCAGCAGGGCCTTGGGCGTCCAAGATCTGCTTCCAACCCTGCTGGCAGGGAACGGAGACATCGATGGGCTTGCCAGCGGTGTCCTTGAGAATGGGCTTGATGATGTCGCCCTTGAACTTGGGCTCACCGATCTGGCCCTTGATGCTGCTACCGTTGACAGCAACGTCACCTAGGTAAGCGAGCAGCTTCTGGGCACGGTTCTGAGAGCCGACCAGGGCGAACAGCTCGGGGGGTATCATCGATGAAGGTGGTCCAGCAGGTTCCGTCGATGAAGGTGTTGTGGCTCAGCAGAGAAGCCAGGAAGGGGATGTTGGTCTTGACACCACGGATACGGAACTCAACCAGGGCACGCAGCATCTTGCGGCGGACAATCTCGTAGGTCGATCCACGGCAAGTACACTTGACCAGCATGGAGTCGTAGTGGGGGGTGATGATGGCACCGGCAAAACCGTTACCACCGTCCAGACGAACACCGTTACCACCAGCAGAGCGGTAGACCTCAATCTTACCGGTGTCGGGGGAGAAGCCCTTGGAGGGATCCTCGGTGGTGATACGGCACTGAATAGCGAAACCGCGAGTGGAGATGCGGTCCTGAGTCAGACCCAGCTGCTCAAGAGTGGCACCAGCGGCGATCTGGATCTGAGCGGCGACGATATCGATACCAGTGATCTCCTCAGTGATGGTGTGCTCAACCTGAATGCGAGGGTTGATCTCAATGAAGTAGTAACGGTTCTGCTGGTCGACAAGGAACTCAGCGGTACCGGCGTTGCGGTACTTGACCGACTTGGCCAACCTGACGGCATCAGCCAGGATCTTGTCGCGAACATCGACGGGGAGGTCCTTGGCGGGAGCAATCTCGACGACCTTCTGGTGACGACGCTGGACGGAGCAGTCACGCTCGAACAGGTGGACGACGTTGCCCTGGTTGTCACCGAGCAGCTGGACCTCAATGTGCTTGGGCTTGTCGAGGAAGCGCTCAACGAAGACGGTACCGTTACCGAAGGCGGACTTGGCCTCGGAAGTGGCACGCTCAAAGGCATCACGCAGGGAAGCCTGGTCGCGAACTACACGCATACCACGGCCACCACCACCGAAGGCAGCCTTGATGATGATGGGGAAGCCATATTCGTCAGTGAAGGACTTGACATCGTCGTAGTGCTCGACGGGGCCCTCGGTACCGGGGACAACGGGGACGTTGCACTTGATCGCAAGACGACGAGCAGAGACCTTGTCACCAAGAGCGTCAATGGTGTCAGCGGTCGGGCCCACGAAAACGATACCAGCCTTCTCGACATTGCGGGCGAACCCGGCATTCTCCGACAGGAAACCGTAGCCGGGGTGAATCAGGTGCACACCGTGCTCCTGGGCGATCTTGATGATCTCGTCGCCGGCCAGATAAGCACCGACGGGGGTATATTGGCCACGCTTGCCGATCATGTACGCCTCATCGGCCTTCTGACGGTGCATACCCAGACGATCCTCGTGGGAGTAGACGGCGACAGTCTGTAGGGACAGCTCGTGGGCTGTACGGAAGATACGGATGGGGATTTCACCACGGTTGGCGACCAGGATCTTCTGGAAGTGCATGATGGTGGAATTGGCCCGGAGACGACGGTGGACGGAGTCCTGGTGGTGCTCCCCGTGGTCCTCGACGAACTCGACGGCATCGTCGTTGTTGGAGGCCATGATGGAAGGGGAGGGGAAGAGGGAGAGGAGGGGTTAATTTACAAGCTGGGATGGTGTTAGTTATTGTATTTCTCCTGGGGGAAATTCAGAGAAAGATCTCCGAATGCCTCTGGATTCATCTCCATGTGGCTGTATGCAATTCAATGGCATAATATGAAGCCATATACAGCCGAATCCAAATAGCGGGGTGACTCACAAGCTAGATTGAAGCTCCGGATCTTCGTCCAGGCCGATTTCGGCAAAGCAGTTCAACTGACACTGAAGCAGTCCGACAATCAAACAGGGTTGAAGAAGTTGACAGTGAAGAGAAAAAGGGTTATGGAGAGGGAGGGATAAAGAGGAAGAAAAAAAAAGATGGGGGGAAGCAGCAGGAAGGAGGGGAGCTGATAAAGGGCGACTTCTGCCAGCGATCACGGGCCAGGAAGATCTGCGTCCGGGGCAAATGAGGTAACAAGAACAGTCACTCCAGTCACTCTCTCCCCCAGTATACTCAGTACCCAGTGCAGTACTCAGTGCCCACTTGGTCCTCCCCACTTCTTTCCTCTCTCCCCGTCTCGACTGATTTCACCTACAAGTTCACCGGCACACCGACGACTTCCAAGAGGTGATCTTCGGTCAAGAATTGGTCCAAATGGCTTTTTCTTTCGATCTCGTGAACAACTACGGGGCTACTCTTGTTTACTACTACCTCGCTTCTCCTTCATTGACGCCATGAACTTCTATCATCCCCCCCCCCCCTCCCTCCCTCTGTGTCTGCAGCCAGCGGGTCTCTCAAGTCGGGAACAACTCCCCCGATGATCTCATCGCCGATTCTCTCCTTCAGATCGGGTGGATTAGGTACAACCTCCAGCCCTGGGGAAAATCTACTCTTACCTTGGGTCCTCGGGCCCATGCCACACATTCTAGCCCATGTAGCCATTGCTCAATCCTCTCCAGAACGGATAGCGACGGGAAACCTTGTCACCATTCCGGGGCAGACTCGGAGAACTTTCGTTCCATATTTCTTCCATCTTCGAAGAAACCGCCACCCCCACCAATCATAACCCATGAATTCCCACGATTTTCCTTCTCTGCACCAATCCCCTCATACTGAACCCCCCCGTTCGTTCCTGAAACGCGTTGACCTCGGGGAAAGTCATTCCGGAAGTATTCCCCTTCTCACCCTCTGACTACGACTATTCTCGCCTACCCCTTCCTGGATCTTCTGGATCTTCTGGATCTTCTTACCCCGTCGAGAAAACGACGGTCCCGCAACCCGGGATGGTCATGCGTGCTCATCCCTAGAGGAAAGGATCTCCTTCCTCGCTCCGAGGGCCACGCTGGAACCCAGTCTCTGGAACGGGTCTTTCGGTGTATCCCTCCGACGAGGACCGTCTTGGCCAATTTTTATTTGTCTTGCTTTGTGGCTCGTTTCGGTTCATTATCATATTGTATTAGTATCTTAATTTTATCCCCCCCCCCTTGGCACTGTGGTGATCTCCCGCCGCAGTATGACAGGTACCACCTCAACTTCACCGCGCCGTCCGCGGTAGAGCAGCCAAGCGGCCAAGACAGACACAGTTATCTGAGGTTGACGTACGGAGTATGTACAGAGTAGAGCCAAGATATTTCATGTAGAATTGTGCAACAATAGTTCTGTAAATCTGGCAATGCCCAGACCAAGGGGTTCTTGGCTCTACATTACCGAGTACTAGTATCAGAAGAACGATTTTCTCTGCATCATGTGCAAACTCAAAGCCAAAGCGCCCAGACCTACCAGCGCACCGGAAGGCCGCCCGATAAGCCTCCCTTCTACGAGTACCATTCCGATGTCTAGCGGAGGGAGTACCCTAACTACTATCTACACACTACGGAGTATCCGTACTCCGCAACTTGAATGTCCAATACCAATTCAATTGAAATCAATACAATGCCAATGCCAATGCCATTCCAATAGACAGATCGTCCCGCCTGAATGGTCCCGCCCATCACCTCTTCACGTCTTATCTCTTCCAAACGTCATCCCACGTGCGTACATGGGAAACCAACCACTCTGCACTCGCCGATTATCAACATGATTGCACCAGCGCATACCCTATGTACAGTAATGTACTCTGTACTCTGTACAGCTACAGCGAACGCAATCCCCAACGACGCAAGGCTCCAAAAATGGAAAAAGTCACTGCCACAATCTTAACCCGCCCCTCATTCCCTGCCTCTCCCCAGCTACTCTACAGTATCTCCCCTCACCCACACCCACATCCACATCCACATCCACGTCCCCCCATACTAACTACTGTAGTAAGCTTGTATGTACCAGTGGCGCAAACCAGTCCAGGCCCCAGAAATAAAAATAAAAATAAAAATAAATTACTAAAAAAAATATCTGAGTACCGGTCAGTCTCTGCAAAGACAAACAGATCCAGACAAGGCATAGCTTCAAAGTCAGACAAATCAAATCAAAGCAAACTCCCTTCTATCCTTCTCCACGGGGTAAATCATTCCCCGGAAAGCGATTCTGCTCTTTTCAAAGCTCAGCCAGCTCCCGACTACTCTGCTCTCTAGACTCCGTACTCCATTCCTCTTCTCTAACCTCCGGCCCGGACGGAGCCCAGCGCCAGCGGGCGGCTGCACTCGGCACGAACTACTCAGAACTGATAAGCTGCTTTTACCTTAGTACTAGTATTGTATCCCAGCGGAAAAGCGAACGACCTTAGATTTCTCCCCGCCGGGCAATTTCCTCCGTCGGATCGGAGGACGAATGTACTGTACGCATTGTCCTGTTCAACAAACCAAGCCAATGCCCGCCAAGGATGTAGGTAGGTGTGGTGGTTATGTTAGAATCCCTTCTACGCATGTACAATCTATCCTATCCTTTTGTCCGACCGGGTAATATTAGTATTAGGAGGAGAAGTGGTGGTGACTGGCCATCTAACTAGTAACTAGTTTAGTTACTCCGTTGCATTTTTAGATATACATAGACTAGGTATTGCAGTTGTAATTAACTAGTAGGCGTTGTCAATTGTTCTACGGAGTACTCTACTCGTACCACGGCGAGCTACTCGTACATACCCAAAGTCTGGGCAATCTCAGATCTGCAGCTAACTACTCTGCAACTGCAACTGCAACTGCAACTCCCTGCATCTCTGAAACTGAACCTGAACCCGAAACCCCCCAGTGGAGCGGAGCGGACTGGACTGGGCTGTATGGCACCGATGACCCTCCTTGCTCCACGGAGCTATATGGAGGAGATCACGATAGTTGCAAATGATGGACCTTGGCGCTCTTGGCGCAAGTCCGGTATCTGCAGTCGATCATTCTGATCTGAGGCAACACTTGGCAGGCGCAAAAACGGGTCGTACGGTCGTTAGTTCATGTTTAGAATGCCCAGTGTTTTTTGTAGTGGACCTGGACTTGGTCATGTGCCATCAGTTGTGCTATGGGATGCGCCAAGTCGTAGGCTCTTGGGTATCTTTGGTGGCAGCGTAGCACGATACTAGTAGACCATGTGAGTACTAGTAGGGTTCAATGTACTGAAGATAGATGCATGCATGCATGGGAACTACTGAATAGCCGGTCTAGAGCAATGCTGCTACCAATACGAGAAAGCCTCCGCAACAGAATTCAGAACGATGTCAAAAATACAATTGGATAATAGAGAGGAAATGATAAAATAGAGAGAAAGGGGAAGAAAAAAAGAAATGAAAGAAGCAAAAAGATAAAAGAAAAGGAAAAAATTAACAGGCCGTCAGGGAATAGAATCTCCCTCCGATGATATGATATGACATGACACATCCCATCCATCCAGCCTCATCTCAACTCAGCTTGGCAACCCATGCCAATCCATCCCTTCCCCGATCTTCATGTCTTTTTGCTCGCACCAAAGGGGTCATCACTTCGCTTTATGTTACACATGATCAAGAAAAAAAAAAAGGAGAAACAAAAAAAAGAGGAAGAAAACAAGGAACTCAGGGGATTACCCGGGTCTCTCTTTCTCTAGAACGCGCGGTATCCCGTAGCTTGCGGGGGTGATCCCGTTAGCTTGTCCGTATGGGCTGGCCGGAGCGGGACCACCGGGGCCCTGGGTCAGCATCAGCCGAGAGCCACCCAGGATCGGGGTGTTGTCCTGATCGGTTGTGTGGGTCGTCTCGCGGGACTTGCGCTCCTCGTTATCCTTCTTTAGTGTCTCGATCGCACGAGTCTGCTCGCAGAGGAAGTTGATCATAAACGGCATTGTGAAGTCGTGCAGGCCCTTGCGCCATGAGATCTCCATGATCACGTCAGGGCGGATGAGATCGTAGCAGGCGTACAGCATGCCAACGTAGCACTCGCGGCTTCCGATATCGACGAACTAAGAGGTTTGTTAGCTTTGTTTTTATGAAAGATGAGATACAAGGGGCTAGGAAGGGACATACGTAGCGAAGGAGCTCCTCCACAATCTCGGGCTTGGTTGAGATGGCAGCGGTCTCAATGGCATCCTTGTATAGCCTATCCTGCTTGGACAAGGCGATAGACTTCTCCCAACGCTTGTTGTTGCGGTAGATGCTGGCGGCAATCTGGCGGAAGAAGATCAGGTCGTGCTTCTCCAGGCGCACAGCCAGATCAACAGCGTCGAAGTTGTCGTAGTTGTCAACGGAATCACGGAGGGTCTTGTAGTCCTCCTCCTCGATCAGAAGCTCATTAATGGCGTCGTTGACCGCGCGCTTGTTCTGGGTCTGGACGTTGAGCAGGAAGGGCTTGATCAAAGGAATGTTGTCGGAGCTCTGGAAGATACGGACGACACGGTTGACGTCGATACGGGCAGTGAGGGCCTGCAGAAGATCGGTGATGAGGAGGGGTTGCTCCTGCAGGTAGAAGGTCAAGGCACGGTAGTAGATCTCCAGGTTGGCAACCTTAACAATGATGTCCTTGAACGAGTGGTGCTCCCAGGCATCGGCCGCACGCTCCATCATAGCCAGAGCCGCGTTGTCAAACTCATCGTAGTGGCAGTACAGGAAGACCAGCTCCGGCCACAGGTTCGCCTCCTCGCAAGCGCGGATCATCTTGGGGGTGTTGAGACGAGTGTAGAACAGCTTGAGGTGCTCCATAACACGGTCGGGGTGGTACTTGGACAGAGCAATGCCCAGCTCAGTGAACATACCCATGTGAGATCGCTCCAAGCCGAGACCAGCCTCCAGGACGGAGATCAGCTCATCGAAGTAACCGTTGCGCTCATACTGGCGCACAAGGGCCTGAAGCTCCTCGGCGTGAACAATCAAGTTCAGACCGCAAATCTGGGCGAGGCGGAACTCCTTCTTGTCAACGCAGGCCTCGTTAACCTGCTTCCAGACCTTGACGCTGTTGGCCTTGCGGGCACACTCAACGGCGGCCTGGTACTCCTCAAGGTGCACCAGAGTGGTGGCCAGCTTAGCCCAGTTAGAGATGCTGGTGAAGAAGATCTTGGCAGCCTGGTGGTAACCCTCCTCGTAGGCCTTGTCACCGGAGGTTTCGATGTCAGCGACGTTGGTGGTGCGCAGGAAGTCCTCAAGTTCGGGAAGCTGGTCCAGACGGGCGAAGCAGAATGCGAGGGCAGTATCAATGGCCGGCTCGCGCAGAGTCTTGCGAGCCATGCGAAGGAACTTGACGAGATCCTCATCCTTGCCGGCGTGGGTGGCGGTGTCGATAACCTCATTGTAGTTGGAGGGATCAGCAGCACGGATGTACGACTCGATAGAGTCAGACACACGCAGACCATCCAATTGGGCCTTGGCAACCTTGCTCCAGACGTCAGGCAGCTCAACACGCTCGGCAAACTCCTGAGCGCGGTCAATGCTGACGATGTTCTCAACAAGGACATTGGCAGCGGCCAGGAAGTTGTTGACCTTCTTGTAGATCTCGAAAGCCTCCTCATACAAGCCAACACTGATACACATCTCAGCAATTTCATCAGCAGAGAACTCGTTGAGCTGGTGAATGTAGTCCATCAGACGACCCTTGTCAGCCTTAGCAGCAGTCAGCATCAGCAGGTTTTGCAGGCTGGCGTTGTCGCTGAATGGCGAAGGCTCCAAAATGATCTTCTCGAGAAGCTCAATAAGCTCGCCGGGGAGATCGGCATCAAGGAAGCACTTAACAGCCACGGAAACCTTGTCGGGCTCGGTGGACTCGGGGACAGCAGTGGCAACGACCTGGTCAACAAGCGAACGGCGGTGGATGTTGTTCTCGCTGAGGACAAAAGTCCAGACCTCGGGGTCCGCACGCTCAACAAGGTAGCGGGCCTGGGCACGGTACATAGCGTTCTCGTTGGTAATGCTGATGAGCTCCAGGTCGTTCTGGCCCTTGCGGTAGGCAATGTAGGCCAGGTTGGGGTCACGCTTTTCACAGTACTTTCCGACAGTCAAGGTGTCGTACATGTCGTTCTCCTTCAGGAACTTCTCGGGATCATTGTTGCTATCAATGTAGATCTTGGCGAGGGCGTTGTAGACAGCTTGCTGCTGGTTACCAGTGGCAAGGGTAGCCTCGAGGAAGGGCAGCAGCAGCTTGAGACGGTTGCGGCTCTCAACCTCGGTAACGAGCTCATCAATGGGGATGACCGACGGATCAACGGTGGACAGGAGGTTCTTGATGATGCTCTCCTCGCAGTCAACATCCAACAGACCGCCAACAACAGCGGGAGCACGAGAGGGGTTCACGCGCTGGACATAGACCTCGATAGACTTGAACTGCTGGTTCTGGTACAGGTAGAGAACAAGGTCGTGGATGAAGTTGAAACGGTCGCAGACAATAATGAGAGGGAGCTGCTCAGACAGGTGAGCCTCCTTGAGGAAGTTCTTAACCTTCTCGGGGTTGTAGTAGTTGCTCTCACGGCAAATCCGCTCGACCTCGGTGAGCTGGCTCATGGCAGTGGCGGCTTCGATGTACTTGAAGTGCACCTCGCCATCCTCGCTGAGGTTGACAATACTTCCCAGGTAGTAGTAGAGACCCTCGGCGGTACGGTACTTCTCGAAAAGGTCGATCAAACGGTTAGGTCCAATGAGATCAGAGAACTTGGTAGCAATCTGAACGACAGCCTGCAGGTTCTGGCGGATGTTGTTCTCGAGCATGGTGTCCATGCACTCGAGGGTCTGTTCCACAGACAGGCGACCGAAGTAGTTGATCAACCAGTCGGGAGTCAGCATGTCAGTGCGAACAATGTTGCGCTTGATCACAGCGGGGTCATCGGAGTTCTCCAAGGCGCGCTGAATGAGATTGGCTTGCTCGCAAAGTTGAGAGATGCGAGCGCGATCATAGTTAGTGAAGATCTCATTGCCTAGAATGGCGTCTGCGACCTGAGGAGCATTGACAAGGTTCATCTCCAGAAGGCGAGTCTGCAAGTGGCCGTGCTCGGGCTTGTTGTCCTTGAGGGCATCGAGGAGGAAGGAGGTGGCCTGCTGGATCATGTTCTGGGAGAGGAACACATCCACAACACGGTCAAGATCAACGAGAGCGCCGCCCTCCTCGTTGGCGAGCTGAGTAGCGAACTCGGCTCCCTTCTCGGGGTTGACACGGACAATGTGTTGCAGGAGCTGGGTGTAGTCGGGCTGGTAGTTGGCCTCCTTGGAGTAGGAAAGAATCCTGTCGAATTGACCAGTCTCGGCGAGGCCGGCGACAACCTTGTTGGGAATGTTGGCCTGAAGGTAGACGTTCAGGGCCAGAGCCATGTCGTATGGGCGAATGATGTCTCCAAGCTCTTCCGAAGACTCCAGCTTATTCTCGCGCATCCACTTTTCCAGCAGGTGCTTGCGGTTCTGCTGCAAGACGGGACGAACAAGCTCCACACTCTCGTAGCGGTTGAGCGAACCCTTGTCCAGAAGCATACCGAAGTACTGAAGAATGACGGACATGTTACCCTCTTGAGGAGCGCTCTTGAAACGGTTGATGGTTTCCGTAGTACGAAGGAATCCACGAGGGGAGTTTGCAGCAACCTTGGCAGCCTCGGCGAATTGACCGGTGCTGATGAGCTGGTCGAATTGTTGCTGATACAAGTGATCAGCACCCGGGAGACCCGCCCGAGAAGCAAGCTTCACAGCAAGAGAAGACATGGCGGGGTTGTTCATGAGGTATTCGATGATGGTACCCTCGTCGACGCTGACTGACAAAACTTGACCCTTGCGATTGACACCAACCAGGCCCTGTCCATCCATATCAGAGGCGGTGGTGAAGATGGTCTCGCTGGAAATTCGGTTCATGAAAATACAAGTACCGGTCTCAAGATCGTAAAGGTGAATGAATCCATACTTCGTCACCAGGTAGACAACATCGTATTTGGATGATACCTGCATCGCAACGGGGAAGTCATTGACGGCTTCGCTGGGGAAGTACACTTCGACGGCCTTCTTCTGGAATCGTGGGTTGGGTTCTTGGTGGTCGATCTCGGCAATCTGCAGCTTGGCACCGGTCGCAGTGCGTACGGCGAATGTAAAGAGGTGGTGGGGTAAAGGAGAGCCCTCAACGTTGATATCGGCGAAGGCAGCGGCGTGGCCCTCAATGAACTGTGAAATACCGCGCTCCTTGGAGTAGAGCTGCATAGATCCGACGACGCGACCTTGCTGTTGGCTGATACCAACAACAACCATCCATTTATCTTGCGAGTTGACGCGGTAGTTGATGATTTGGCATCCCTAAATAAGAAACAAGTAAGAGTCAGTAAGTGATTCAAGCTTTGTTTGGATTTGTCAAGGCAGACGTACGGAAAGATTGGGAAGACGGTCGAACATCTTCACCGGGTTCTCCTGGGAAGCATCATAGACATCCCAGTGGTAAACTGCGGTATCGGTAACCAGACCCAGTGACTTTTCGCTGAGCCACTTCCAGTAGACGATATCTTCATTCATAACGGCGGACTTGAGCTTTGACTTGGCTGCAAGGTCGAAGATCTGGATTGTCCGGCCCTGGGCGCGGAGGGCGATAATGTTCTTGCTCCAGTGCATGATCGCACTGTCAGCGTTGATCGGCCGCCGCATCACCTCATTGTTGTTCTTCAGGTCGACGATGATAACCTGGGGCTTGTCGTCCTCCTCGAGCTTTTGACGAACACAGACATAGTGATCCGATTCGAGAGTCTATAGAGTGGGGGGAGTGTGGTTAGTTGCATGTTTCACTTCCGGGTGCACTTTCCTTGCATGACGGAGAACTTACACATGAGGAGAAGCCAATGGATTGTTGCTATACATGGCGAAAGAAGTTAGTAGGCTGCTTGTATGATCCGAAAGGCGAGCCGGGCGCGACCGGCGATTCCGCCGCCCAACGGGAGCTCATCGCGAAAGTGACACGGGCAAAGCCCAACAATCCAAGACATACCGCAATGCCAACATTGGTCAACTATTGTAAGAGAAAGAGTGTCAGTTTAACAGGTCTTGAGATAATCAGAGCGCAAGGGAAAGCGACATACATTGACCAGTTCTGTGAACTTGATGGGAAGCGGTGCCATATTTACTTAGGCCGCAGCACGACCTGATCCGCCCAAGTGAACGCCACGCAAGGAAAACTGATCAATGGAAGGGAAGGAAAAAGGGGAGAAGAATCTGATGAAAAGAGAGTAAGATGGGAGAGGTGAGAAAAGGAGGGGTGTGAATGGGGGAATCTGAAGAGGCGGAAGTGACCTCAGGAGGCCGCTGTTGTCGTTGCTGAGGTGTCGCTTATGGGGGCTGCACGTGACCCAGGGGCAGAGCTGCTTGGCGGTGGACACTGCGTCATTCCAGACCCTTCCTAGTAGTGGGCCACAGGAGCAAACAGTAGTGATAGTGAGTGATGGTGGAGTGAAAGTCACCTGCGTAATGTATAGAGGTGAGTGTAGTCGCAAACAGAATTGTTTTCAAACGGAGATGGTCTTACCTTATATCTATATATTGAAATCTGCCTGGACACGAAGCTGCCTAGGATAAGTACCATGCTCTTATCTAGTGTATGTTAAATTTCCTCATTCGTCTAGGTAGATTGAATCAATTCCTTACTAGTAAGTATTCCTTTAATTCTACTATTTCCTACTCTTCCTACATCCAACCTTGGACTTGAAGGCTTCCATGGTCGGCCGGCTCGGGAACCCCGGCATCGGAGTCAGTCTACTTAGTTCGGCCCGCAATGGCATCTAGCTCTGGTTGTCTGGGGTATTTTGGGTCCTGTCACTGCAAGGTGTATTCTTGGATTTTTAAACTCTCTGAGAATGTATTATGGTGTGATACACTCCCTATATATATTTTTAGATTTTGAAGACTTGTTGCCCAATTTAATTTTCAGCTCAATATATATCTCTAATAGTAACCTGCAGTAAAGTACCTCCGGGTGTCGATGAGAAAATGAATAACAAAAATTTGAGAGTAAGAAGACACCAAAATGCATATTTGATCTGAATTACTAGTAATCTCCTCAGCTATGTCTACTCTAGATTTCCTAGAAACCATCCATAGATATAGTCCCACCAGTAAAGTAGATTATCTACCTAGGTAGAAATTGGATGCACCCCGATTTTGCGGGGCAGGGCAAGACCCGTTTATCCACACGTGCGCCCAGCATCCAAGCAACCACATGGAGTTAATGGACCAAAGAATCCAACTAATAACTTTACTGGCCAATCATTGACCTGTATAGAAGCGAGCTCAGAATTGAAAACATCTCCTAGGACTCATTCTGTCGTCATTTCTTGGAAAATACTTAAAGGGCACCCGCAACATTGGAAAACGACGTAGGGGGCTGGGATAGTAATATCGAACATAGTTCGAGCCACTGCCAACACATATCTGGGCAGTCTTATATATCACAAGCACCAAGCCCAGTCTTCGCCCACCAACCGCCAGGGAGAAAAAAAAAGCAAAACAAAAGTGTAAGCTGCGTGGCAAACACAAGATGTGACCCAAGGAGTGTGGCGCACTCCTTGTTTCCCGGCTTCTTTGTGCAAAACTCTCCCACACCCCGAGTTCAAATACCCCAATAGCCGATATCTCATAAAAAGAGCCTCTGGGGAATATCCATGAGCAAACTCCAACCCCTCCTCCGCAGGTCGGCCATTGTTCAATTGGCTCAGAAGCACCGAGATACCGATGCCGCTCAGCGGCCTTGCACTCAAAATGTATAGCCAAGGCCGAAAGGATCTCGGAGTAGAAGTCTGCCCACGCCAAGCTGACATTTTAAGCCTGTCTTGCGGGATAAACATCGTATCGTATCACTTCCTGAGGCGGGCACGGATGGCCGAGACCTTGGCGGCATCTTGGCTGGTCAGCCGAGTGGGATCTCCCCGCGTCGAAGCACGGGATAAACCTGGGGCCGATGGTAAGTTGCTCTGATCACGAAGAATATGCGGGAGCTGAATGCGGGGCAGGGATATGGCAGGGGTGCCTGAGGGCCTAGCAATGGCTATAAAAAGGGCGATGGCGCGCTTCCGTAAAAGCTCCGAGGAAGGAAACATACATATACAGATACGGGCTTGTTCAGATTGAAGTTTTGACCGGTATCAAAAATCTTACCTTGTGGGTTTCCCTTTGTCCGATCATGGCCTCCAACGAAGTGGCGGAGCCCATTGCGAAGGGGATTATTCCTACTGCTCGACAGGCATTTGGAGATTTGTTTATTTGGAAGCAGCGTGTGGAAATCACCAATGAATATGGCGAGACTCGTACAGAATGGCAGGAACCAGAGCCCATTCGAAACCCAATCAGCTTGCTGATGCAGCTCTCAGCCCGGGACTGGCTTTTCTTTCTCATGGGGTTTACAGCGTGGACTGCCGATGCCTTTGACTTTCATGCCCTGTCTATCCAGCAGAAGAAATTGTCTGACTACTATGGTCGTTCCAAGACAGAGATCTCAACTGCTATAACTCTTACCCTTCTTCTAAGAAGTGTGGGTGCCGCGGCTTTTGGACTTGCTGGAGATAAGTATGGTCGCAAATGGCCGATGGTTCTCAACATGATCATTCTTGGAGTGTTGCAAATTGCAACAATCTATAGTCACACTTTCCAGCAGTTCCTGGCTGTGCGAAGTCTTTTTGGCCTTTTTATGGGTGGTGTATACGGAAATGCTATTGCGATGTCACTAGAGCATTGCCCGTACGTGATTTCCAGTCCCGAACAATTATAAGTAGCTAATCATTGCAAACAGTGTGAACGCGAGAGGTCTCATGTCGGGTATACTTCAGCAAGGGTACTCCTTTGGGTATGTGCTTGCAGCATGTGCCAATCTCGGTGTAGGTGGAAGTACCGAGAGTTGGAAGACTGTATTTTGGGCTGCGGGTGAGTATCCGAAATCAAAGAGGAATGTATATAAACTAACAGAACTATCCATGCAGCCGGTCTTTCTATCGGCGTCGGTCTCATTCGCATTCTATTCCCCGAGTCCCAGCAATTTATCGAGGCCAAAAAAGCAGGCAAACGGACGATGACAGCAGGGGAGTTCTCTAAGGAGACCCGAACTATGTTGGCCAAGCAGTGGAAGCTTTGCATTTACTGTGTCATATTGATGACATGGGTAAGTTTGCAACCATTGAGCAAGAGAATGTGAGCTAACATGATTTCAAACTAGTTCAACTATTATTCGCATACATCCCAAGATTCGTACACAACGTTCATGCTCACAGAGAAAGAGCTCGACAACGCGGGCGCCTCAAGGGCATCTATCCTGATGAAGACTGGAGCCTGCGTTGGTGGAACCATTATCGGCTACCTTTCACAATTTGTCGGCCGTCGTCGTGCAATGATTGTATCTGCTCTGGTTTTGGGCGTTCTCATTCCCGCATGGATCATGCCACAGGGTGAGAGATCGTTAAGTGCCTCCGGGTTCTTCATGCAGTTCTTCGTCCAAGGAGCATGGGGTGTGATTCCCATTCATCTGAATGAGCTCTCGCCTCCCGAGTTTCGATCCACGTTCCCTGGGTTGACCTACCAAATTGGAAACATGATCAGTTCTCCATCTGCGCAGATTGTGAACGCCGTTGCGGAGAAGACCTGGATTACTGCGGCATCCGGTCACAGAGTATCGGCCTATGGACCGGTAATGGGTGTTGCGACTGCTATAATTGCCACAGGAATTGCGGTGACCGCCGCCTTTGGACCCGAGAAACGTGGTCGTCGCTTTGAGAGTGCGGTGGCTGGAGTTGATGAGGTAGCTGCTACTAAGGTTGCGGATCTTGAGGCAGGTGACCCAGAGAAGAAGGTTGGCAATGAAAGCCAGGCAAAGGAAGAGAGAATTGAGAGTGTTAACGAGAAGTTATGATTGGGCATCCTCTTGTCAGATACACGATGGGAACACTGGATCGAATATAGGACGTTCTATAATATCCTTTTAATTAGTTTTTTGAATGCCGTATGCTTTACCTTGCATCTTGAATTCGCAAAGACAATCGTGAACCAATTTGTATGGTGGGTGTATGGTGTATGGGTATTCGATCATGCGTTGAAATAACACCCGATGGTGCAAGGCTTGAAGAAAGGGTGACAAGTCGTGGGAACAGAGGCCATTCTATAAGCAAGGATACTGATTCTCATCAACATGTAGAAACCAGTCAGACAACTCAGTCTGAACATAGGAGGCAAGAGGGTGTGGTTGTGATCGACAGACCACTGACTCTCCTTTCCCTATGACCCAGGCGATATCAGGGGTACAGCCAACCTGGCATCTTCGCGACAATAATTTTGTTCGCATCAAGATTCGAGGCGAAGAGAGTTGGAGGCACGAAATAAAGTACCGAAACCCAAAACAAGTGACGTGACAAGGGTTCGGTCCGCTACAGGCAACTGGGGGCTGGAGCAGCATATCCTGCACCCAGGGACTCGGATAACAGCTTCAATTTGCATCAACTACGAGCTACGAGCTACGACCTACGACCTACTGCTACGCAAGAGAAAGCGGCACCAGGTTGAGACAGGAAAAGACAGAGAGATGGGCCAGGTGGTACTCCCAAAAGTCCAAGCACAGCGTACAAGACAATTGGAGAGACCGACTCTTTGATGGTACAAGACCAATCAAGCGAGTTTTGACAGACACAGACAGAGCTAGTGTCGTCTTCTTTTCAACAATGGTTATGCGGAAAAACAACACCTTTTGTGCAGCCTTCATTGTGAAAAGTGGAACTGTGGGAGTTTTGCAAGGTAGTAGATTCATGTCTCTAGCACGCCTATCCTGGTTGCCGTGGTAGATAAAATAAGAGAAAGGGGTTCAGAACACCATTGCCGACGCAGGGACCGGGAGCCCGGCCGGGGTCGACGGGGTCTTCCGTCCTGGGCCGATTTTTTGTTTCGGAGAAAGAATTTTTGGCTCCCTTCGATGCATCGTAAATCACAGTTTCATCCGGGCCTCCATCCCGTTTCCTCAACACTCGTTAAAGCGTTTACCGGACGATACCGTCGAAGCGGTTCTTGAACCACTTGATGGTCTCGGTGGTGTTGATCTTGTGGTTAACACCGATGGTGGACTTGCAGCGACGGCGCTTGGCGACACGCTCACCGGGGCGGGTCCTAGAAATAGTCAGCATCCCAATCCACCTTCGAGTTGCAGCAGAGTAACTGCCTCCGCTCCTCTTCGATGTACTCACATGCAGCAGAAGAAGTCCATGCCGTAGATACCGATACCGGGGTCGTACTTGATACCCAGATCAATGTGCTCGGAGATACCGAAACCGAAGTTGCCGGTCTCGGAGAAGTTGCGCTTACGGAGCTCGTACTCCTTGACCTTCAGGCCACGCTCGAGGATCTCCTCAGCCTTGGGGCCACGGACGGTAACGTGGACGGCGATCTTCTCGTTACGGCGGATACCGAAGGTACGGACGGTGTAGCGGGCCTTGGAGTAGACGGGGGTCTGACCAGACAGCTGCTCAAGCACCTTCGCGGCACGAGTAAGTCTGTCACCAGACTCACCGACCGAGATGTTCAGCACGAGCTTCTGGATGCGCAGCTCGCGCATGGGGTTGGCGCTCTTGTCCTTTCCGTCCGACTGCATTGCTGTTAGGCGATTGCAAATTCACATTGAATGAGGGGGTGGTGTATCATACCATGGCGACTGAGTGTTGTGGCGTGAGGTGGTTATCGAGAAGAGGAGATCCTGCAAAAAGTCACAAAATGGGGAGCGTTCCGAAGGTTGGTGTGTGCGGTCACGGGAGATAGGGTCACGGGAGATAAGGAGTCCTCAAGCGAGAGGGCTGCTGACTAACGGACCGAACCTTTGAGTATTTCTCCGCCTTAGGCAGTAAATGTCACATGATCACTTCAGCTTAGTCATTCAATATCCAGAACTCTGAAGTCCGGCGAAAGCTAGAGCTTGTCAACGGATCCGCGCCTGTTTGATCCTACACTGTTGAGAGAGCACTTGTTGCTGTCTTCTTACTTTTTGGATCTATCAAGTCGCATTCGTGCGCGCTCTTCTTGCCAACCATGGCCGCCAACAAGCAGGGCAAGATGGTAAGTCCTGGTCCCTCCGTGCATCCAACGTCGTGTGGTCAATGGCTGTCGCTAACATATATGTTCTAGCAAAACCTCGTGAGTCTACTTTGCTGATACTCAATCACTCAATCCATTGCCTAACGATTCTCGCAGATCAACTACCGCATGAGAGTGACCCTTAACGATGGTCGCCAAATGACCGGTCAGATGCTGGCCTTTGATAAGGTCCGTCAATTACCTACCATTGCCCCGGACCCAGCTAATTTTATGGTTACTCTCCAGCACATGAACCTCGTTCTCGCCGACACAGAAGAATTCCGCCGTATCAAGCGCAAAGGAAAGGCCGCTGGCCCCGCGAACACCCCGCTGGTCGAGGCGGAGGAGAAGCGAACTCTCGGTCTGACTATCGTGCGCGGCGCCCAAGTCGTCTCTTGCTCCGTCGATGGCCCTCCCCCAGCCGATCCCTCTGCACGTCTCGGCAACGCCGGTGCCGGCGCCGCGGGTGCTGCCGCTACTCTCGCTGCAGGCCCTGGTATCAGCAAGCCCGCTGGTCGTGGCCTGCCCGTTGGTCTTGGTGGTCCCGCTGCTGGTGTGGGTGGCCCCCCTCCTCCAGGTGGCTTCGGAGGCTTCCCTCCTGGTGGATTCCCTGGTGCTCCCCCTCCTGGGTTCGCTGGTCGTGGAGGACCCCCTGGTGGTGGACCTCGTAAGTTATGCATTTTACTCCGCAAACATGCGCGCATGCTAACCATTATGTCCTGCAGCTGGCTTCGCTCCTCCCCCTGGATTCGCTCCCCCAGGCGCTCCTCGTAAGATTTCCTCTTGTTCGCATGAAATTCCTCTTGAACGGATTAGCTAACATTATTTCCTTAGCTGGTGGCGCTTTCCAACCCCCTCCAGGCTTCCAGCCTCCTGGCCAGGGACGGGGATACCCCCCTCCCGGATTCGGTGGTCGATGAGTGGATAAATATGTTTTAGAAGGGAATTCACGCTCAATATGATGAGCGGTCTGTTTTTTTGCCCGGGAAATGAGATGGGGTTCGGGGTTACGTGGAACCAATATTCCCGCGGTCAGCAAGGCAGCATTCGTACATGCTCGATTAGCCCACAATTACCGGGTAGGCGTTGCGGCGCATGGGGATGGAGGTCGTGTCAAGGATTGAAAAAAAGCCCAGAGATCCTTTTGAGATTCGCATTCAGTACTACAATAATGCTACCTAGCTCCTATGGCCCCTTTGTCGCAAAAATTGCAATACATATCGATTTCAGCGCGAGTTGAGCTTGTACTAATACAAACGTAGTTTCAAGGTTTTCGGCAAAAATGCCGCGTGAGATGCTCGAGCAATGTGTGTCAAGACGGAACTAAGAAGAGCAAGCCAAACTTGGACAGAGCGAAGAATCACACTAGTGTATAGACAGAGCAACTTAAATTTGAAGGTTATTTTAATAATATTAGATAATCCGGTATATCAGAACTATCAAGCTATGCGAGATTCAGATATTGATGTTCTTCCAAGCCATAATTGTCTATTAAAATATGATCAAAATACCGTAGCGCGGCCTGGGATGACGGCATATATTGTAGACACATTTTAAACAGAGAAAATCTTGACATGGTACTGGATTATGTAGGTATTCGTGAACCGGATTATACAGAACGTCTTCTCAAACAGCAATAAAAAATGCCTCGACATAAAATGCTTCGACTTCAAACTTGAAGGTTATTTCGTTCAACGGCATCTATATAGTGGATTTCCAAACCCCTGGTAATACTAGCATGACGACTGGCTAGTCAAATTGCCCATTATGCAACCACACATGCATAGCTTGGCAGTCAAAATATAGAAAGCCTATCATCCCAGGACTTAAAGCGAGCCATCACTGAAATAAAACAATTTAACTTTTCCTCTAATTATGCTGGCAAGCAATGCCATTGACGGAGATAAGCCCATGGCACGTGACACGGTCAATGCCGGGTAAGTCAAGTACTTCCGAACCCGCAGACCCCAACCTCAACCCTCAGAGTCACTTTTTTGAACATCTCCCCTCTCAGCAACCTCCGTCATGGCCGCTGTTATTAAGGCGATCAATGCCAAGATCCGCTCCAACAAGGTTGCCGACTATGTCTGCTCGACTCGTACGTGAACCCCGACTCCTAAGATTCCAAGTTTCCCGCCGCGCTTCCCCGAGATCGGCCAGCTGTGATACCTCCGTGAAGAGGACGGACAGGCACAATGGTGCTTGTCGGAATCGGCATTTGGGATCTCACAGGAGTCCCAGACCTGAGATCTGAGAGATATCTCGAATTCTCAACGCTCAACCAATTCTCAATGGCTTTGCCTGAACAATACTGACAATGACAACCCTTTACAGACTTCTGGGGCCCCGTCTCCAACTTCGGTATTCCCTTCGCCGCTGTGATGGACACCCAAAAGGACCCTGAGATGTATGTTATAACTGCGAGAAGCCGCCGCTTATATTTCCGCGGACAATTGCCTCCGCTCCCTTCACCTCCCCCGTCTTCCCTGTGTTTCCGTCCTCGCTCAGATCCCGCTGACCACTCCTTTGCAGTATCTCCGGCCCTATGACCGGTTGTCTGGTCGTCTACGCTGTTACATTCATGCGCTACTCTCTCGCCGTCACCCCCGCCAACTACCTCCTCTTCGGCTGCCACTTGACCAACTTCTGTGCCCAGTCCGTCCAGGGATACCGTTACCTGAACTACTGGAAGTGCGTTACCCTCCCCCGCATGACGCGAAAAACGCGGCAATCTATAACCTGATTATGAAACCATTGGCTAACATGTGTCTGATTTTAGCTGGGGTGGCCGGGAAGCTTCGCTCGCCGCCAAGGCCGCTCAGGGCGGCAAGGCCACTGAGGCCGGTGCTTAGAGAAAGAGCATGTTCGTCGGAAGTTTGCGATGCTCTTTTTTCTTTGTTTATTACCTCGTTCGTCACGGTATTGCATTTCTCTATACACGCGTTTGTCAAACTTGCTTTGTGGCCGGTCCTGTATGGCAGTGAAGAAAAAGTTGTGGTATAGAGGTTCCTATAGAGCGACTGCCGTGTGGGGGGTGATGGAGCGAATGGGGTTGAGGGGTTTGGCGTGGAGACTTGGACATATGATCCATCTGTCTCGGCCACTGTACATAGGTTCTACATTGTGCTTGAATCATTGTTTTGATAAAATTGCCCCCTTGTCATACTAGTACCCAGGTGTCTTACAAGTGCTTTCTCAATAACTTGAAGAACTTGAACTTCAGGATCTTGTAGTCTAACCATTAGAATTTAGCTGCTACTTGGGCTGTACTATGATAGGCTGCTTGTCCAAAAAAATGCATACGAATCGTGAATTTGAAATGACCACCTTGAGATGGGTAGACGGATGTGCCAACCTTGTCGAATATGTATACAAAAAAAGAAACCACTGAAACCCTCAATGCGCCCAATATACTGGCAATTTGTCAAGAGGAAGACCCAAAAACACCAAGTTTGCATAGCTGTTTTCCGCCCATACGTGAAACAAAAAGATATCAAATGCTATGCGACACTCTAGTGTTGAAACAAGAATAAGACGTCATTATACTACACCTTTCGTAGATTATACCGGATCACAGTACCCGGGACTGGGAACGTCACCGGCGCCAGCAGCCCAGTTTTGAAGTGTCAGGAATGTCGTATAGATGCAGCAAATTACACCAAAGACAGTCAGAGTCACGTCGGCAATTGCCTGCCGTCTGGAACGGGCGCAGGCTCGGAGGTGGAGCAGGGGCTAATAAGGAATGTGGGTTAGCGTGGATCTTTTTGGATTAGGAAGGTAACGGAGGGAATGTGGCTTACTGGGTAGACGTAGATAAGAGGGACACAGGCAAAGCTTCCGACCAGCGAAACGAACTTGTCCAGATTATCGGCACCGGCCCAGGCGACGATGGAACAGAGAATCACCAAGAAGAAACGGAAGGCGTTCTTCTTCCACTTGATGTATGGATTGTACTTGCCACTGCGGGTGAAGAGTTCGTTTTCCAGGATACGGATGGCGGGGAAAAGTTGCAGCGGTGTGCTCAACAAAATCGCTAGCGAATAGAGGAGCTGAACCACGTTGACGAACTTGTCATCTTGGGGCAGGTTGAGAAGAATGACCGTCTTCGTGGCCGATCCATAGGCAGCGTAGCTCAGGCCACCGGCGGACAAGAAGATCAAGGTAATGATAATCATAACGCCGGCTAGAATACCCGGGAATCGGCGTGGCTCCTTCATCGATTCCTGGATGGGAATAATTAGGCCAATACCCTCGTAGGTGAAAATCGCCGTGCCAATGAACATGGACCAGGTTGTCGGGTTGAAGTCAATGATATCCGCAATGCCACCATTGCCAATGAGAGTGCTCGCATCGTAGTAGTAGATGTATAGCAGGCCAAGCAAGATGAAGGCATCAGCGATCAGTGCGGTGAAACCGAGTTTGCTGATATCACGAATCAGGGAGAGAGGCAAGAAGATAACCAGTTGCATCAACACCATGATCTTGATATCGATGAAAGACTTGCACTTGCTCACAGCAAGTACGAATGCCTGAAGGTTCTGGGAAACGAAGACAATATATGCGGAGACGAATCCCAACTGGCTCAAAACAATCGATCCTAGGATGATGCGTCGCATGTGCTTTCCATACAGAATACCACCGATATCACCAAAGGAGCCTTCGATCTTCATGCGAGTATTCACCAGCAGAATGAAGGCATAGTAGCTCAAACAGGAAACTCCCAGCAGCACCATGCTGCTAAACAGCATGCCTCCGTTCAAGAACGCACGAGGCAGGAACAGAATTCCTGTTCCCACAAACGACTTGAGCAGTAGCATAACCGCGCCAGTCGCTGTAGTATTTCCAGCAGGAGCACGCTGCTTGTGCTTGCGCTTTCGGCGGCCAGCCCCCTCTCCTTGGAGCAGGGCTGCATCTTCTCCGGACGCTCGACCTTCGGCTTCATCCCAGGACTCGGAGGAAAAGTACTCATCTGGTCCTAGCACTTCATCATCCTCCTCCAACTCCTCACCAGCGAAATGTCCATAAAGAGATAGAAACTCGATAAAGCTTGTAGTGGGAAGCTGAGGGTGCGCGGGGGCGGCAGCTCCTGAATTCGATCCTTGAACACTTCCCCGGTGCGGACTTCCTGCGGTTCTGCGCAAGTAGTCACGACGGAAACCACCAGGGACCCGTATCGTGTGGATATCTTCTGTTTCTTGCTCAGGGGTAGGTCGACTGACGCTAAAACTCTTGCTGCGGGCAAACCGACCTGCGGCCTCCGCCTCCGCATCTTCGGCCCATTTATACACCTGCCGAGTAATGTCTCCACCCTGCAGCTGCAGACTGGAGAACTCATCATCACCCATGCTGGTGCCAAGCTCCGACGGAGTTTCTCGGGCCTCCGATGCATGTTGTGGCATGACCAGATGTCTTCTCACCACCTCGTGATCTTCGTAAGGCTGCCCTCCATTAAATTCGGAGCCAGTCTTGGTGTCGAATGAACCATACTGGGAGCCCAGAGGTCGGTTATCTTGCACCGCATGCAGAGCCGGAGACGCAGCGACCCGCGAGGGGGTCCCGAAATTCGGGGGCGAGCGACCGAGGCTCTCTTGCAGTTGGGAAGCAATCATAGACTGGCCTGGACCAGGAAGTGAAGATGGGTCATCCACATATCGAAAATTTTGGTCGTTGGAGTTTGCTATGTTGGTATTCGTGGTGGAGACGGGGCGGCCGGTCGGAATACCTTGACGAGACGATAACGAAGTTCCCAGAGCTGGCGAAGGAACCGGCGAGGCAAGTCGGGCAATCGAAGCTTGTCTGTTTCCCTCCGGTGCTGGCGACGTCGATCGAATGGACGAGGTCGAAATTGGCAGCGACCGGGGTGGGTTCAACGAGGAACTCTCTCCGTTGTCCATGGTGTCAGGGGGGTGGGAGGGGGGGAAGGGTCAAATCGACACTTGCTTGAATTGCATCAGGTTAGAATACAGCGGGCCCAGATTGTGTGCGAGCTGTATACGCAAACATTCAGAGAGGCAGAGAAGAGGGTGTCTCAAGCTCAAAGGCGGTCTTGTCTGTCTGCAACTGCAACTGCAACTGGAGGAGGAGTGACAGCTGACAAAGTTCCGCCTTTGGGCCGATCGGCGGGGTTTGCACTGTTTGTTCCTTCCTTCGTCATCCCCTCCAGACGCGCTGTGACGCAGGTGGTTTGGTAGTTCTCCCTTGCTCAGTCTGCTTTTTTTTTGCTATTTCTTTCTTTCTTTTTTTTATTTGAAATTATTCGAGTCGGGACTGTTGGAAACGGTTCGTCTTCATGCTCTCGCTCGAGCGAATCTGATCATTGTTGACGGGTCTTATCGTGATGTCTCGACGACGTCCGAACTTCTCGACTCGCACCCCCGAAGAAGATGTTTCTCGCCTCGACCCAAATGAACATGGGGACAATGCGGAGAATCGTGCGGGCCTCTTGAAATGGCCCTCAAATATCTGGTCCCGACATCATGGGGTGGACCAGACAGAGTCCGGAGAACCTCGACGACATTCTCTACCTCGAAACTTTTTAGGGGGATTGTCTCGATGGTGGGCCAACAGCACCGAAGCCGAACGACATCATGACGCCCAAGATGAGAGTGGTATCTCACAGCTGTCTTTCTCCGCTGGACCTCTTCGAGATTCCAGTGTGGATAAGAAGGATAGGAGTGGACATCGACCTCGTGCATCAGAAGAGACCAAAAAGCTTGGAACATTCTCCGGAGTATTTGTGCCTACCACGTTGAACGTGCTTAGCATTCTTATGTTCCTTCGATTCGGATTCATTCTTGGCCAGGCTGGATTACTGGGCATACTGGGTAGGGATCGCCGGAGTAGGGGGTGAATGAAGTAGATTGGGTTTGTTACTAACCACTCTGTAGGACTACTGTTGGTATCATATATGATCAACCTCGTGACAACGATGTCTCTTTCCGCAATCGCATCCAATGGCACCGTCCGAGGTGGAGGTGCCTATTACTTGATATCACGGTCACTCGGCCCCGAATTTGGTGGGTCGATTGGAATCGTGTTCTACCTGGGATATGTTTTCAACACCGGCATGAATGCTGTTGGTTTGATCGACTGCTTCACAGAGAATTTTGGTATGAACCGGGGCTCGTTGGCAAATTTCCTCGCTGAAGGCTTTTGGTGGCAATATCTTTGGGGAACTGTTATTTTAATTCTCTGCACTGCAATCTGTTTGGCAGGAAGTTCCATCTTTGCGAGAGCAAGTAACGGCCTTCTCATTATCCTCCTTGTGGCCACGTTTAGTATTCCGCTTTCTGCCCTCTTCGTGAAACCATTCTACTCACCCAAGGAACGCGTGGAATTCACGGGTCTCAGTTTGCAGACTCTAATGGAGAACCTCAAGCCTCATCTCACCAAGGGCGCTGCCGGCAGCCAGATGAAGGGAAGGGAGAACTTCCAAGACCTTTTTGGCATTTTGTTTCCTGCCACAGGCGGTATCTTTGCGTAAGTCAACCCATTTTCTCATGCCGTGCTGTGTTACTGATTTTCTTTTTTGGGCAGTGGTGCAAGTATGTCGGGTGATCTGAGACATCCGAGCAAAGCAATTTCCCAAAGGCACATTGTCCGGTCTTGCCTTGACATTCATCACATACGGATTGGTCATTCTTGCAATGGCGTCTTCCATCAGCAGAGAGTCATTTTACAATAACGCCAATGTCATTCAAGTTGTATGTATTCGCTTCATATTTTTTTCCACCAAGAAAATGCTGACGCCTTGAAGGTAAATGCATCAGAAATCCTTATTCTCCTGGGAGAATTTGCAACTAGTTTCTTCTCTGCCCTGATGGGAGTGATCGGTTCCGCAAAGCTTCTGCAAGCAATCGCGCGGGACAGTCTCCTTCCCGGACTTACCATGTTTAGCCAAGGCACGAAGAAAAGTGACGATCCTGTATATGCCATCATCGTGACCTTCATTTTTGCCCAGGTCACGATGCTGTTCGATATCAATCGCATTGCTTCTTTTGTTACCATGGCTTACTTGATGACCTTCCTGGTGACAAACTTGGCTTGCTTTCTTTTGAAAATTGGATCAGCCCCGAACTTCCGACCGTCGTTCCATTATTTCAACTGGCAAACTGCTGCCATCGGAACTGTTGTCAGTGGAGTCAGTATGTTCTTCGTGGATGGTCTATACGCTGGGGGATGTGTGGGAATCCTAGTGATTCTTTTCCTCTTGATTCACTATACCTCGCCGCCTAAAGCTTGGGGCGATGTCAGCCAAAGTCTGATCTACCATCAAGTACGAAAATACTTGCTCCGCTTGCGACAGGAACATGTGAAATTCTGGCGGCCGCAGATCTTACTTTTCGTCAGTGACCTTGATAGACAGTATAAGATGGTATCCTTTTGCAACTCGCTGAAGAAAGGTGCCTTGTTCGTCCTTGGTCACGTCCTGGTGACCGATGACTTTTCAGCGGCTGTCCCAGAGGCACGTCGTCAACAAACAGCGTGGACGAAACTTGTCGAATTTTCCAAGATAAAAGCATTTGTCAATATTGCAATTTCCCCGGCAGCTGAATGGGGGATGCGAAATATTGTCCTCAACTCCGGGCTAGGAGGAATGCGACCAAACATCGTTGTGATTGACCAATTTAGAGAAGACCAGAACCTGGCAGAGACTTTCTCTGTGAACAGCAATCGCAGAGAGTCTTCGAAATCCAGACGACGATCCTCCATCCTTGGATCCAAATTTGATGCGGACGAGCCTGCGCCGCCCACCAAGGGCATGAGCTGTAAGAGCTACGTCACAATTTTGGAAGATCTGCTCTTCAAGCTTCGCATCAATGTTGCTGTTGCCAAAGGATTCGAAGACCTCGAGTTACCGGATCTTCACGGCCGCCATACAAAGAAGTACATAGATCTATGGCCGATCCAGATGTCTGCGGAACTTGGCGCAGACACGGAAAGCAAACAGAATGTGCTTACTACAAACTTTGACACCTACACTTTGATCCTTCAACTCGGTTGCATTCTGAACACGGTGCCATCATGGAAGAAAACTTATCAATTGCGGGTTGCCGTGTTCGTCGAGTACGAAACTGACGTCGAAGACGAGCGAGGGCGTGTGGAGGCTCTTCTCGACAAACTGCGAATCCAAGCCGAGGTCCTCGTATTCTGGCTTGCCCGCGGCGATCTCAAGGCCTACCGCGTCATTGTGAATGGCGACACCTCTCCGGAAATGGAAGATGCTCAAGAAAACGTGAATACTGTACTTAAGAATGAAGATTGGTGGCAGGGAGTCGTGAAGGCGCGCACTCGTTTCCAGAACATGCAGGAACAGGAGCAGCAGCAGCAGCCCACAACCGAAGATTTCCCGCATATCGACCGAACATCGACGTGGCAAAGCCCAACCAGTCAGGATAGCGGTAACCGGCCTCTTCAGCAGCGGGTCACAGGGTTACGCAAATTGATATCGAAGCGCCGGCGATCCGTGTCTAGTTTCCGCGCACTGGGAAGCGTCAGCCTTGGCATGCAGACACACCGCTTGTTAGATGCATTTGTTGAATATGACGGTGACGATTCATCAACTGCAAGCAGCGACGACAGTGATTTCGACCCTTACACAAGCGATCCCGAGATTGACGAGGGCGAGGCAAGCATCGCGCATGAGGACGATGCGAGCAACCGAAAAGGCAGCGAGAACGCAGATCTTTTGCAACCCCTCGAACGGAGTCAGAGCGATGATCATAGCTCTGGCGTGAGTCCAACTGCCGAGACACCACCTCGCAAGGATTCGTCCGGGCGAATGATTCCTTCAATTATCGAGACCGGCGACGGTGCCTCGCCAAAGAGCAAGCCGGCTACCCGTCCGGGCATCAGTCGGAGTGCATCCAGCAACCGGTTCAGTTCCTCGCCCATCCCCGAAGCCAAGGTCAACACGGACGCGGACGAAGGTGCTGGACCCAGTATCATGTTTGCGTCGAACGCCTCACCGCCACGCTTCCTTGGCAAACTTGACTCGATCTATGCGCGTCGCCCGTCGATGCCTTCGCCCAGCTCCAGTCAAACGGCTTCTGGGTTCCCTGGTCCGGCCTCGATCCCATTGTCCTTTAATGATCTGCCCAGTCGGGCGCAGCATCTTATTCTGAATGAGTTGATGGTGCAGCAGAGTAGTGAGACGGCTGTGATCTTCACCACGCTTCCATCACCGATTGAAGGGACATCCTTGGGAGAGGAAGATAGTGCCTCGTATTTGAGTGATCTGGAGGTGCTCTGGAATGGGCTGCCGCCTTGTTTGTTGGTGCACAGCAATAGCATGACAGTGACGATGAATTTGTAAATGTGCTTACTGGGAGTTGCATGGAAGATGTACAGCTGTATGCAATACAATGCACATGCACATACGCGTACACATACTGTTTTGTTCAGATACTTATGTTACATTTCGGAAATATCATGATTCCATATACCATATACTTGTACTAGTCTACAGTATACTTTTTTGCTGACGGCTCGTATAGTAGTTTGTGGCCCCGGCCCCGGCCCCTCCAAGAAACTACTGCAGGTCAGCCGGGATCGGCGGGACTAAGAACGTTCTCTATCTTGAGTGGCTCTCCATTGGACGATATTTAGTATACAATAATGTACTTTATGTATTCTATATGTAGATGTGGCGGTTTGAAATCGAATATGGCGGCCTGCCCGTGTACCCTTAGCCTTGGAAATAGTAATTACTAATTACTAATAAAAGGTGGTAGGGCCTCTCGATGAGCCACACTTAGTCGAAGCGAACCAGAGAATGGAGGATTGTACATATTATAAACAAAATGCCCTAATACTCGCCCTAGCCTATAATAAACCAAGTAAAAAGAAAATATCCCCACGCTAGACCCAAAACTGCTAAAGATGACCAACCTGCATTCGACAGGTTCTGATTGGCTGGCAGCGTGACTCGGGATACCCCGTAGCTACGAGCACCGAATGATTTACCTGGAGTAAGCATCCTTTCATTGTACGGAGTCCCCGTACAGTTGTTGTCCCTCATACATTATAATAGTTCCCTTCTCTTAACCCTGTCACACAGAGATTGTTTGATTTCTCTCTGCCTGGGCCCCTTGCCGTTCTTTCATTCTTCCTGCTTCCATCTACTGCGCCCCCCCTCTTACTCCGCCCCTGAATTATTTGTTCCTTTTCTTCTTCTAAACCATGACTACTGCCAGCGCTGGTCGATTGAACGGCAGCGTTAGAGCCTCGGATCCTACTCGTCGCCCTGTTGCGCATTTCGATCTTCCTGATCGTTCTTACAATATGAATGCCTCAAATGCCAACGGGAATGGGCATGGGGTTGACCACCCCGACTCCGACAGTGCCTCCTCCACCTCCACCAACACCACCAACGGCACTCAAACACGCCGTCCAGGCATGTCTCGCAAGGCCTCATCGCCCATGGCCCCCGCCTTTATGGTCTCTGCCCCCGGGAAAGTCATTGTCTTTGGTGAACACGCCGTTGTTCATGGCAAGGCTGCCCTGGCCGCCGCCATCTCTCTCCGTTCCTATCTCCTCGTCACGACCCTCTCCAAATCTCAGCGTACCATCACATTGAACTTCCGCGACCTAGGGTTTGCTCATACTTGGCAAATCGATGAACTCCCTTGGGACGTCTTCCAACAACCATCCAAGAAGAAGTTCTACTACGACCTCGTCACATCCCTCGACCCCGAGCTCGTCGCCGCAATCGAACCCCACCTCGCACATGTCTCCAAGGGCGTCCCTGAAGAAATGCGCAAGACTCACGTCCGATCAGCCTCTGCCTTCCTCTACCTCTTCCTCTCCCTCGGCTCCAAGCAAAGTCCCGGCGCAATCTACACCCTCCGCTCCAACATCCCCACCGGCGCCGGCCTAGGCAGCTCAGCCAGTGTCTGCGTCTGCCTGAGTTCCGCCCTCCTCCTACAAATCCGCACTCTCGCCGGTCCCCATCCAGACCAACCGCCCGAGGAAGCAGAGACTCAAATCGAACGCATCAATCGCTGGGCCTTTGTCGGCGAGCTCTGCATCCACGGTAACCCCAGTGGAGTCGACAACACGGTAGCCGCAGGCGGCAAAGCCGTGATCTTCAAACGATCCGATTACACCAAACCACCCGAAGTCATTTCCCTGCCCGATTTCCCCGAATTGCCCCTCCTCCTCGTCGACACGCGCCAGTCCCGCTCCACCCTGACCGAAGTCGCAAAGGTTGGCGAATTGAGGAAACGCCATCCGGTGGTTACAGAGTCTATCCTCGACGCAATTGACCAAGTCACCTGCTCCGCGCGCGCTCTCATCGAGACCCCCGACTTCGACGGTGCCTCGGACGACACCCTCGAGCACTTCGGTACGCTTATCCGAATTAACCACGGCTTCCTTGTTTCGCTGGGCGTCTCGCACCCTCGTCTCGAGCGCATTCGCGAACTAGTCGATTACGCTGATATTGGTTGGACGAAGTTGACTGGTGCCGGTGGTGGTGGGTGTGCGATTACTTTGCTCCGCCCGGACGCGAAGCCCGAGGTTGTGCGTGATTTGGAAGCCAAGCTTGCGGAGGAGGGATTCGCCAAGTACGAGTCTACTCTTGGTGGAGACGGCGTTGGCGTGCTTTACCCTGCTGTTCTGCGGAATGGGTCTGATGAGGAGGGCGGCGAGGAAATTGATCAGCAGAAGTTTGAGAATGCTGAGGGGCCTGAGGGTATTGAGAGGCTTGTTGGTGTTGGTGCCAATGCCCAGGAGAGGAGGGAGGGTTGGAAGTTTTGGAAACGCGCTACGCAATGATTCCTTTCTTCATCCGAGTCCTCTTCTTGTCTCCCCTCGACCAACTAGACCCAATGACTCAATGCTGCGTCAGTTTGTTGGTCTCCGCCCCTATTGGATCTGACTTGATCTGACCTGACCTGGTTATGGGATGGTATCTATCTACCACCCGTCCCAGCCATCCCATTGAACCATAACATATCATGGTACCACTAACCCTTTTTTATCCCATTCTGTCTCATTCTTGTACACATTTTCCCTCCTATGCATTATACACCCTACCTTTATGAACCCATTGGAAACCACTATCCAGAGCCCTGCTTTCTCCCTCTCACCTCTACTGCTCTTTTATTCCTTTATTCTTTTTTTCTCTCTAACCTTTTATTCTTGCATTTGTTTTGGTTCTTTTTTTCTTCTCTCTCTTTGCATTCTTATCCTCTTATATTCTTATCTTTCTTCGTTATTCGTTCCCCTTGGAAGCGGGGTCCAAGGTCCATCACGCTACTATCTACTATCTCCTCACTTATTGATGAAAGAACTGAAAAAATCAACCTTTCGGGTTTTGGCATGTGCATGTTTCTGGCGCTGGTGTGTTTTTCCTTTGTGGTTGGCCCGGGCTATGAGATATATTAATATTACTATATTTACTATCCATTCTCTTCTTTTCTACCTTACTCACACTCTTTAAATATAATAATCATACTATATTCAGTCGCTGTGAACCTTGGAATTTACCTCAGCCCACAGTAAGTGTCGGACTCGGACTATGTACTTTATGCCTCCCCTAGGGTATTTTGTTAAAGCGAGCCTTGTAAACTTGAAATCACCCCATGGTAGTCTCCCACCCCTTCTCAATCATAACATCAATCCAATAAGCATCTGTCTCCCCCGCATCCATCCGCTTCCATACCTCCCTAACCAACCTCAGACAGACATTAATCGGTTTTGGCGGGAGGACATGTAGGAATGAGGTTAGTCTGCCGAGGATGAATCTTCTTGTTCGGGAAATTTCGATGGCTTCCATTGATATACTTGGTTGTTCGGTATCGTCGTCGTGGTTGTTTTCGAGATCGTCTGGAGTTTGAGGCTGATGGTGGTGTTGAGTTCGACTTCGAGTTCGACTTTGTGGGGAATCGTGGGAAGTGTGAGGTAGGTGTGATGTTGAACGTGGGAGACGAAGCTCGCTGCTCGCTGCGACGAGGAGGAAAGGTTGTAAACATCTTGTGCGAGATTCGAGGGGGATGGTTTTTAGGCGGGAGAGGGTTGTTATGGCGAATTCTGTGAGCCAGTTGTTATATAGGGATTCTGAATCGTCGGGGTCGGTGTCTGTATTTGTATTTGTATTTGTGAAGGTATTTGTTGTAGAGGGCGAGGGCTGTGTTGAATGGTGCGTTTGATTTCCTGATGGACCTCCTCGAGCCGAACCCGGATTTGTATGTGTATCGCAGAATCCCCCTCCAGCTGACATATTCATACTGTCCAGATCAATCGGGAAGAACGGGTCTCGAGCCGAAGTGGACGATGATGATGCGGAATTAGGTAGACGATTGCGAAGTAAATCAGGAAAAACGCGATATAACTGCATTAATCCCGTACAACGATAAACCTCCGCCATAGTGAGTAGATGCCAGACGGGCGTTTCGTCGTCACCGGGCGAGACGATTTCCGCCTCAGTAGGATGCGCCAGAGCGAGAAGTCTTTCTTCCAATTCTCGCGCTTTCTCAATGGCAATTTGAGCGCGGGCGATTTCTTCCTGCGAGGTGAATCTGCGTGCTCGGACGCGTTGCCGTTCACGTCGGACTAATCGACCTACTTCGTGGACTGTGAATTGGGTGTCGCGAGCGATACCCGTCCAGGGTGCGGTACTCGTTGAAGAACGAGGGACTCATCCATTGAGGAGGCTGATAAGTCTGACGAGACGATGTCTGTATCCGCGACGAAGGAGAGCAGCATTTCCCAGTATATAAGCGCTTCTTCGAAGAAGCGGTAGTTGTTACTTGTGCTTTTGACGAAGCCGAAGTCTGGAGTGGTTGATGATCCGATTGTGGTCAGTTGCTTGCGAAGGAGGTTGAAGAAAGATATACCCAGGTCCTTGGGATCGTGCCAGCTTGCTGTTTGGCCGAGCATGAGGAGGGCTAGGAGGGCTTTGTCGTCCATGACTGCTTCGCGGGTTATTATTTCCACGGCCTCGTCTCGCATTTTGCGGCCTAGGGGTCCGAATTGAGGGAAGTCGTTTACTAGAGTTGCCGCGGCCATGCTTTGCATTGTGCGGCACATTGCTAGTGATGAGCCCCATAGGCGTGAGACTGTTGTGCGGAATGGATTCATTTGGCTGTCGTAGCTGGAGAAGAGGGCTGCGACCTCTTTGAAGTAGTACTCGATGAGTGTCCATGATGGGTTGTTTAGTGGTCGGGAGATTGACATGAAGTCGCGAGATGTTGATCGTTGCGGTGCGGGCGGATAGCTTCGTACAATGGCCGATGGGGAAAAATCACGGTATATACTGCCTGTCCCTCCCCCTCCTCCTTCTTCCTCGTTGTTTGTTGGTCCGATCAGGGAGAGGAAGTGTGAGAGGTCCACTGCATTGTCTGCAGATGAGATAAAGTCATCGACTGCCTGATGAGACTGCTGGAATGCCGATGATATCGGGATTGGGGATGGGCATAGATCAGACAGTTCAGGCAAGGATCCGTTGCCTGGTAGGTCCCACAGGTGATCACAAAGTGAATTTGATTCATCGAGGCCAAACCCCGAAGATTCTAAATCATGCGAAGGCCCGCCGATGGGGTCGTCAGTGGGTAGGATCTGCTGTGTCGGGAGCGAAGGTTGTTTCGGTGATATTTGACCTTGAGGAGGCGCAGGACTCAAGGCCTTCCCATCGGACGATGCGCCAGGACTGGGCTCTTCATATTTAGTAACCCATTTCAGGGACTGTACATAACCGGGGCATCGGACCCCTAGGCGAGTACAGCGATTGCAGTGAGGTTTCTCCTCTCCGCACTTCACCTGTGGATCTGCGTTAGCTGGGGAGTCCCACACAAGCACCAGGGCACTACGTGACGCGGAGAAGAGAATATACGCACTCGCTTACTTTTGCATCGGGAACACCCGTTGCGGGATTTCTTGACTCGACGCATGGTTGTTAAGGATGAAGTAATGAGGGACCGACATTGCGGAGTCGTTAGAGTTGACTCGTGCGGGGAGATTGAAATGCCAAGTCATCGCGGCAGTTGTTGTAAGTGGACACCCTAACGGGATCTTTTTACCTTTTTGAGAAACCTTAGGACCTAAGTAGCTGATAAGGGTGGATTTAGGTTATGTGAATACAGAGAAAATAGTACTGTTCTCTTAAACTGCCCGTAGAGAATAGTCCGTATAAGATTGAGTCCTTTTGTTGACCGTGATACAGACCCGCCCAGGCTCACCTTTCATGTTGGAGACTACAGAGATTCTCTTTCGAACCCTACATGATGGTTACTCCCGTAGCCTGGATAATGCTTCAGTTCAGACTCGTAAAATTCAAACGCAAGGGGACATAATGTTATGTATTCTTAGTAATCCAAAAATAACAACCTTCGCGGTGCCGTTCATCCAACAAACTGTGCCCCCTACTCAAGCAAACATTAAGCCCTGGATCATTGCAAACTGGCGTGAAACCTGAATCCCTCGCAGCGTAAGATGGTTTCTCGCATGATAAACTGCAAGAAAAGTCTGGCTGTATCACAAATTGTCGAGCTGGAAAGTCTCTATGACTCTGATTTGCTTCCAACTGCGGTTGTGGCAACATTCTCTTCGTGTTGAAGGTTAGCTGGATTTGCCTTGATACCCTCTGGGGCAGCTTCATCTTGGTCAACTGCTGTACTAGAAGTATTCTTCCCAGCATCAGACTTTCTTGAAGCAAGAGTCGGGCGGTGCTCAGAGATCTTCTCCGTGGCATCAACGGGAATGGGTTTGGCCCATCGGGAATAAATGTCCTCTGGGAGCATCTTCTTTCTTTCGACCTTCTTGATCACCAGTGTATCCTTCAGAACATTGTACTGAATAGTTGAGCTTCCACCCCAGCTCCTTGTCACTCGAAGGATGCGATTTATGAGTGCAACGAGTTTCGTAATATCTTCTTGGTGGGCTTGTTCCCAATCCTTCACCGCGGCAGTGATGTCTTCAACTTCCGGCCTCGAGAACACTCCTCGTTGATGATGGGCGCGGACGAGCTTGGGTGTCTGGGAAACCCAGACCTGAGGTGCAATTTCCGATAGTTTCAGGGGTTTGTGAGAAACCCGAGTTTTGATCTCTAGGGTTGATTCCCGTGGTACCACCCAACCTTCCCTTTTGATGGTCAATTTAGATTCAACGGAGGTCTCTTCCGTAGTGACTGTCTCTGTTGAGAGAGAGACAATGAGTGCAAGATGTTTGCAAGGTCGTCCCCTATCGACTCGCCATCCTTTACAACAGGCTTTGAATCACCAACACATCCATCTGTCTCATGGCGCACAAGAAAACTCACACCACCGAGTCTGTAGGAAATTATGCGATGGTGTCCAGTGCTATCTCTAACCTGGGGGATGGTGTATGCTTTCTCGAATTCATGACCAAAGCCCCGGAATTGGCCAGGCCCAATCACTTCATAGGTAGCGGTCTCATCACGACAGAATATCGCAGTCTGAGCTGCCATATCCACCTGGATGGTGAATGGATCGAGCCCGTGTGTGGCCAAATCTGGATTGATAAATGACAGCAGCTTTCGAATGTTGTTTCGATCGGTCACGACGTCGATTGAGCTTATGTCGAACGAGGGCTGTTCGATATAAAGAGAGCGGAATAATGGCTCTAGAGGGCTGTCAGGATGGCGAGCAGCATTCTGAGCAATGTAAACAAGGCCGCTATCTTCATTCACTTTTCGAGGTCCTCGTGGAGCAGACCATCGAGCTGGACTGCCTGGGACAGCGATGGTGGGTGTGGATGCCTCGACCCAGTTATAAGAAGCCAGGTGCTTCACATCACTGATGATTGCTTCTGCTGGAGCAAAGGAGTCCAGACCGAGGCGGGAGATCTCGACAAGATTCTTGGAGGTTGTTTCGGGTTCTGACATTTTCTAGATCTTTATCCTGCGGATTTGGAAGCTTACCAACTTGAGCTTTGAAGGAGGATCGGAACTGCGTATTAAGCTCCCGTGTGGTGAAGTCAAGTACCGTGACGAATGGAGGAGATGATGAAAGGTGTAGGTTCATGTCACTAAAGGAGGGAGGCTAATATAGGGGATCTTTGAGCCGCCTGAGGCCTCGCATCAACATTTTGTTTGCCTTCCAATGGTGCCAGCATCAACTTGAACTGACAGGGTGTACGTCAGAATTGATATGCAAGCTATTTCTAATGAGGCTGCCAGTCACGGGCCTAGCGGGATGGCCAGCTCACACTTCATGCCAGGTGTATATGCATGCATGACTAGATAGGGTATCCTTGTCTACATTGAACAGCGGAACTCTTGGCGGTTTTTCGTTGTTGACACTATCTCTCTTCTCTTATTTACTCGGAGGATGTGTCCGTCATCAGTTTGCTGGATCGGTTGATGCTGGTGTTGGTAGTAAGAATAAGAACAAGAAAATAAGAATCGTAAATTTTCTCGCTCCAATATTTGCTGTTCCATGGCAATGCCGCAATTCATTACTGCTGATACATTTTATTCGCATTATTCGTGTTTTTCTGAACTCTTATTATGAGACGTAGCATTGGCCTTCGCAAGATAAACTTGGGAGGTGCCCCGGGGGATAACTGTGGTCGGCGAATGTTCCGTATTATAATACCTTGTATTATATTGTAATTTCAAAGATGTTTCCCATAAATTACATTCTGCCATCAAAGGTTTGGTGAATTTTCGAAATCACTTGAGTTTTTCGTTTTTTTGCCATACTTAAGAGCGGCTTTCACCGCCCGTAATATTACAAAGTATTATTACCTGTCCAGAACACGTCTTCATTTCAACCTGAGTTCATTTGCATTGAGAAACAGGATCGTTTGGATTGTGTGTGATTTCTTCGAAAGTCGTTTACTATGGCTTTCTATTTCCCTTCAACCTTATTCTCTGCATTTAGCGGTATTCGCCTGGCACCTGGGCATGCTGTCTCTCGCTTCAACTTTCGACCAATCCATCCCGGGTAATTATCGGTATTTGTACAACTAGTACTCGAAGTACATAAACATACTCCGTCTACTCATTTACATTCTCCTGGTGCTATTATATGGCGAGATACTCCGAGTCCCTGCCATTGTCACGCTTCCAACAAATTGTAAAGGTACTAGTATTAGTACCTTTAGCCACATTTCTTAAGTTCTTCAACCATTGGCTCGACATCGACAAGGCTTGGGGGCCAACCCGTCTGGGGTATCAAAGCGTTCCCCACAGCTCACGATTTCAATCTATAATGCTCACTTAGATTGGCAGTTGACCAATCTAAATCCCTAGATCTATGCGCTAGGTGGCCGCTTGTGTTTAAGCGAAAAAAAAGCACTCCGTCTGCCTCGTCTAAAATCTCAGGGGAAGCACCTGGGCAAGCCGCAAGATCCGGTGAGATGCGGGGACACGCAGGGGACGGGGCTGAAATAAATACTAAACGATCGCCCACTCACTTCGAACTGCGTCTCAACTCTTTGCTTGCTGTTAATTTGACCTTTCAGCGATTAAAAATGAAGCTCCTCCCGTTCTACACACTCTCCTTGTCCTTGATTGGATCGGCCATCGCATCCTCGACCAGCGACGTTGCCCCTATTGCGCTTTCATCGCTCGCCGATGGCTGCACGCCGGAAGTTTACACCGATGCAGGCACAATTGAGGCGATCCGAAACACGCTGGCGATTTATCCTTTCGCAATTGACGGCAAAAACTTCGATGCCCTCAGCAAGGTGTTCACCGCTGACGCGACAGCCAACTATTCAGCACCTCTCAACGTATTACACCCGCTGACTTCTATTCAAACGACCTTGAAAGCAAGCCTGGAATGTGTAACCACGCAGCATTTATACGGCACTCAATGGGTCGATGTTCTATCACCCACCACTGCGCGATCGATAACATACTTCCGGACTGCTCATTTTGGTAAAGGGAACAGTGCGAACCAAGTCTTATACGCCTATGGTCAATATCAGGATAACTGGGAGCGTCAAGCTTTGGGTACTTGGCGCATTGTCCATCGTAATCTGGTCTACATGGTGAGTCTTCTCGTTGATAAGTGGCATCGAGTGTCAATATTGAGAAATTCTCGTCTAGGGTCCTATCATTGGCAATGAGACTGTTTTCGTCTGCTAAATCGTCAATCATGGCTGAACACATGCTGCGGTGCTAGAGCATTGCTGATTATACACTCTTGGGGCTTGCCTTTTTCCATCCCATGGATACGATGACCGTCGTTTTCGTTAACCCGGACCTTGATACATGTACAAAAAATACATTTACAAAATAACTTCAAATTCAACTGAGGAATAATTGAGGCATCATAAAATCCATCCACGAGGTAGTTTAGTGCAGACGTGCCTTTCTTCTTTTTTTTGCCAAGGCTTTGTGCGATCGACAATGCATCTGGTAGCAACCTTGAAATAAGCAAAGCCGGTTTAGATAATCCCAACGATAGGAGATCAAATCTAATCAGATTTTAAAGCCTCGGGCAATTTTAAAGTCGTTAATACCTTTGTTTTGAAGTCAATCAAAGATAGCCTGGTCATCGAGACCCGATTACCCGGTGCGTTAGATACTTACATGTTTTGGAAAGCGGCTTTTTTTAATTCCAAGTTTGGCCCACCTTGTATGGTAGTCGCAATTGTTAACCCCGGAGTATGTGGGAAGTAAGTTTATAGCCCAGCGCTGTATTTTTTTTCTTCAGGTAGTGCATTGCAAGCCATCTTATTTCCGAGAGACTCAAATCTGGACACCTTACCACAACCGGCATTCCTAACAGATGCCCCTAGTACCAGGTATGGACTATAGATTACTCCCAGCTCGTGGCGCACGGCATATGCTACTAGTGTTATATCGATCGGCCTAATCTACTGGCGCATTCACTTCAAGTTCGCGGCACCGCTAACAGGAGCTAATAGGAGGCACGAATGTTAAAAACCACGAACAAAGAAAGAAGGTTTAGTAAAAAATGCTAGAATTTGATTGATATATCAGTAAAAAGTATTGTAGAAAGTACTAGTCGTTCACCTCCAGACCCAAAGGATATGGAGATTGTGCAACCAAACTAAGGAGGGCAGGATCAATTATCCATGTCAAATTAGACCCATCTGTGCCTTCTAAAATAAAGCGCAAGGCTCATATTATGCTCAAAATCCGCATGTAAAATATCGGCTAGATCGGTCTCGGGTCTATTTGCGTGCTATCTCCCACTAATGCCGAATCTTCTACTTCTAGCACGAGAAAGGTCAAAGCCAATTCTTGGGGTGGGAATACAGATGTCCTAGTATCTTGTAAATGAAAAAGCCGATTGGAGCAATTAGAAGACACATGGTAGATTCTCCGATATTATTCGCCATCCTACCTATCCCGCCACCATATGGCATGTACGCGTGGTTCTGGAAGTCCGTCGGCACCCCGCTTCCTCAAATCGCGCGGGATTCAGCCCTGAATTAAGCGAGCTTCCATTGGCCACTCCTATATGCCAGTATCGACCAGGATAATATTGGCGACAAAGCGGTTGCGGGAAAGGCCGGACATTAGCGCTACTGGATCGCGTTATCTTGTCATGTGCTGACGCAACAACGCAACCAGGGGCATAGCATCGGCAAAGAATTTCCACCCTGCGCATATGCGAAAAGACAAACAAACATATGCCTCTAAAGATCGAGAACTAGGATATTCATTGATAATTTCCCGATTAAGCATCATGGTACTTTTATACTACTTCGTGAACGGTTTTCAAGGTGCCTCGATTATTCCTCGAGGAGGTTTCACAACATGAGCCATTCACCATGGGAAATAACGAAAGTTGGGACCAAGTTTTTAACGTAGTAGCGCTAGAGCCAGAGAGGAAAGGCCGGTCCTTATCGACATGCGACCATTATCTTCTCCGGTATGCTACACCAACCCCCCCTGGGTTGCGCTAACTAACCATAGGATGGGGATGGTTCTCCCGGCGCAATCTACGTCTCTGTGGCGGGGCGATGGAAAACACAAAGAGCGACCAAGTCTTCCAAGCGCGATGGCTAATTTTTTAGTTGGATGGTATCACGAAGGTACCTCCCTTCACTCGTGCGCAGACTATGGCATGAATCTGAGGCCCTTGCCACAAAGAGAAATGTCTTAAAAGGTCGGTTCTCCCCCGACTAGTCTGGAAGTTTGGATGGTCGATCACTTCAAAACGCTCTGCGAAGTTTCTCAGGCATTGAAAACGACACAGGATGGCCTCAACTGCAGCTGTCTCGTCCGAAAAGGGCAGTGACATTTCTGTCTCCGGACAGGTCACGCCGGACGAAAAGACCGCTGTCAATGTGCTTTCTGGAGAAAAGGATGATAAGGCCGGTGAAGAGGATCCCAGTACTGAAAGTGACCGCAACAGTGACGATGTTATTATCATCACAGGTGCTGACGCTGCTGCTCACCTGATACCAGTGCGGGATGATTTCGATCCTGTCTTGACATTTCGCAGTATTATCCTAGCGTCGGGCCTGGCTTGCTTTCAGGCCGTGATGAATCAGATTTATCAGGTAAGTGTTCGATTGACTTTTAAAGTGTGCAAAGTAACTAATACGAGACTTGTGCTCAGTTTAAACCGACTCTTATTACCATCCAGGGAACTTTTATTGTTCTCATTTCCTACTTTGTTGGCAATGCATGGGCTAAATTACTCCCGCGCGGCGACAAATTCGAATCAAAGTGGAGGGCTAAAAACGGCCAAGGAAAACTGCCGAAATGGATTTTGTTTCTCAAGTTTATTAATCCTGGTCCATGGTCGCTGAAAGAACATTCCATTGCCGCAATCACGGCTACTTCGGCCTCAAATGTCTCTTCCGTCTCCCAGGTATGGGCTGCCCAGGACCTTTTTTACGATATTCCCATCAGTGCAGCTACTGTCATTCTGAGCACTATCTCTATTGGTCTTTTTGGCTATGGCTTATGTGGAATTATGCGCCCTATTGCGGTGTGGCATACCGAGGCTGTATATTGGAGTACCTTGCCCACCGTCAAGACGCTCCAGGGACTTCACTGGCAACAAGTGAAAAATTCAAAGCCGCTCAGATATTTCTGGTATGCTTTCGCCGGAATGTCTGTGTATGAAATTTTTCCGGCCTATGTCTTTCCATGGTTAAACTCCATATCTATTCCGGTGCGTTTTCTGGTGATTCTTCGGAGCTTATAGTTATCACTCACTAATCCATCGATTACAGTGTCTGGCCGCGCAGAAAGCCACAGGTAGCACGGCTACAGTTTTGACTAACCTTTTCGGTGGCGCTACCAATAATGAAGGTCTTGGTTTATTTTCTGTTTCGCTTGACTGGCAATATGTAAGAAAGCTTCCTGTTATTCTGTCAAGTCGGATTTGAACACTAACATTCAAAGCTCACATCATTTCAAACCTCCCTTCCATTGAAGCTACAGCTTCATCAACTGGTAGGACTTGGTGCTTGCTTTGTTGCCATGCTTGGAATCTATTATGGCAATGGATGGAACTCACGATCGCTCCCTTTCATGTCAACAAGGCTTCTCAGCGCCAACGGAACAGCATATCCCGTTAGCAGTGTGTTCCCTGGCGGTGTACTCGACGAGGCTGCTTTGTTGGAACAAGGGATTCCCAAGCTAACGGGGTCATTTGCGTTTGCTATGCTCATGGCAAATGCTGCTGTAAGAGCCACCGAAATACTTCCTTCAAAATGGAAACTAATAAAAATGATAGATCGGTGCCTTGATCGTTCACTGCATTTTGTTCTGGGGAAGTGATATCAAACGAGCATACAAAAGCGCCAGAGAGGGAAGATTCGACGATCGACACCATGATCATATGGCAAAACACTACAAGGAGACACCATGGTGGTGGTATATTATCGTACTTGTCGGCAGCTTTATCCTAGGCCTCATTGTGGTCCTGAAAGAGAACATTACCCTGCCAGTCTGGGCCTACATCGTTTCTTTACTCGTGGGAATCATTATTGCGCCATTCGTGAGTGCTCTAACCGCACATTCAAGGAATTTATGGACTGACTATTCATAGAGTGTCATTCTTTACTCTCGCTACGGCAACGGTATTGCGACAAACAACATTTCAAAGATGTTGGCAGGTTTGATGCTTCCCGGTCGTCCAATCGGCAATATGTATTTCGCAGCTTGGTCACATAACGTTATCTCGAACGCTGTCAATCTTTCCAATGACCTGAAAATGGGAGAATACCGTGAGTATTGCTTGATACACTACCATGCAGCCAAAAAAACCCCCGATACTGACTGATAGCTTAGTCAAAATTCCTCCGCGCATAATGTTCCTCACTCAAATGTATGGAACTATCCTTGGTGGATTCATCAACTACGCAGTGATGATCTCCATTGTGGGAAGCAATCGAGAACTCCTTGCCGATGGCAACGGAAATTCTTCCTGGAGCGGTGCAACTAGCCAGGCTTACAACACTAATGCCGCATCTTGGGCACTAGCTCCGTACCTCTACAGGAGCGGAAAAGAATACTCAATGATACCACTAGGAATTGTGATCGGCGCTGCGGCTGTAATCGTTCATCGTCTCTTCTACCAGGTACTCGACTTCCGGACCCCCTCCCTTGATACCAAACTAACAACAATTAGTTTGTTCCGAAAGTTGGCAACTTCGACGTCTCTGAGATCAACATGGCACAATTTATTCAATACGCAGGTTAGTAAAATGAGCAATCAAATGGATGTTGCGAGGCGAAGTTCGTCCAGTTGACCCACACGCGCAACTCCCCCTTCCCTCTTTCAATGCGAAACTAACACGCGTGACGAACTTGAAGGATATATACCGTACAATCAGTCTCAAACATGTGTTTTAGTTACGTGGATTGTTTCTGGACTTTACGTGCAGTTCTATCTGCGGAACTACAGACCGAGAATCTTCAAAGATTACTCATATCTGGTCACCGGTGCATTTGATGGTGCCAGTTTGACCGTTCTCTTCATCCTTTCATTTGCGGTATTTGGCGCCGGAGGTCCAAGTCGCCCTTTCCCATCCTGGTGGGGGAATAATGTAAATGGGAATTACGATTGGTGCCCGACTTCAGAATAGGGCTCGTGGGCTTGAAGGTGGAGGAGGACATGAATGACATGGGTCAACGTGGATGACGGACTTCAACTTGGCACAGTCAGATACCTTGCTGCAATATAAGAATAAAATTAATAATGAGTTTATTTCCAAATTAATATTACCACTGATTGCCACTGGGTGTGGTTAGGTTGAATTATTCCACGTGGACTTCGACGTTAGTTATGGGTGGATTCAATGTTGATATCCGGCCAACCGTTGTCACTAAAATGATGTTCATTGTCCAAGAGAAGATACATCGAAGAACAATAGCAGGTACCAACAATAACAATCAAGCATCAGGGGGGAGAAAAAAACATCCCAGGCAAGGTACACTGCCCTTGGCCCCCGCCTTCCGGGTCCCAGGACCGCCCGTGCGTGTCCTACACTCGAAGACCCCAAGGCCTCACTCAGCGTACTAGCCACGGCCTCCCCCCCTGGTAAGGCTGGTTTTGCCCGGGGGGTTTACCTAGTGTGGTCTTCGGCCTCGCTTGACGGATGGGAGCAGCGGTGATGGTGGACCTGAACGATACAGACAAGAGCCAGAACAGCACCACGGGAGGGTAATGCCGCCACATGCCAGAATACCGCAGTAACTAAGGTAGAGGTAGTACTAGCCCTGACCAGTGTCTATACCGCTAGGCCACCAGGGGGGGGAATTGGTGACCTCTCTGCCCTGGAAGTGGATGATATATGAACCTCCTTCAATGTGTTTAGTATAGCGTGTTTTGTTTGATGTGGGGGGAAGCTTATTTAGAGGTGGGGCGAGTCGAAAAATTGGAAACTAGACAATTCGATGCGGGAGATTTTGAATATTTGATTTTTGAGGGCGTTGGAATGTGAATCGAGGCAGGAATTCTGTAAATATAACTTTTGCCTTGGAGTGAAATGAGGCGGATCGTGAACGCCAACGGGGGGAAGCGGAGTCACCGTTTTGGGCGTTGGCAGCTCGCCTAATCGGGAAGAAGTGAATGACATGCCTTCATTGGGGTTCAACAGCTGTCGTTCGATTCCCTGATCTTGCTCATCTTTTCCATTTTGTCGTTCAGCTCATTTTAATGGACTCGAGGCCATCCCCGTCCCAACTTTATACCACCACCATCACCACCACCGGACTGACGCCACACACTTTACGTCACGCTTCCTTCTAGATTTACCTTCGGTTGATCTTTACTTATTATCAGTTCCCCTCGAATGAAATATCCAATCTATTACGGTATTGCCTGTTCCCGACTGCCCGTATCCCTGTGTTTCAAACTTCTTGGAGGCCCCGGGATCCCAGTGTGCTGACCACTTCATTGCGCCAGATAGCTTCAGGTCTTCTGATCCCATCACTATCTCTCTCATTTCTCTCGTGATATTCGTTCATGAGAAGCTACATTTTCACCGAGTATCACGGGCCCGCAAATATCAAACCCAAACGCTTTCAAGTTTGTGATGCAGCGCAAAAATTCATGGACTCCACCCCTCCGCATTATCCCACACTCAAATATTATGTCGCCAAACCGATGACCGAGAGTCTTTCAGTCTTCATGAAGAACAAATAGTTCTTGTTGTTTTGTGATGAGCTTGGGACATTGGGCTGAAAAGATAATCGCAGACTACTAGTAACCCTAGGTTCAAATTGGATATAACTCAGCCGCAGGCCTAGGGTGAGGCCAATGGTCTCGGTAATCAGTAGTTGCCGAAGGATACTTGGACATCAAATCAAATGAAATACCATTGGCCCACATTCATTCGCTATCTGGAATCCAATACCAACATGGATCTATCAAAGGAAAAAAAAATACGCATATTCTGTTCATACAATATCTTCGTCGTCATCCGCACCAAGCTGTTCCCCGTTCTCTTCCGCCGGTGTCTCATCATCGACAACCATTGCCCCATCACCCATCGCCTTCACCTTGGCCTGAGTCATCTCGAACACGTACTGACCCAGATGTTCGACGCTTTCCATGGGGGTGCCCTCAATTTCGGCGTCCAGCGCTCGCGTGGTGGGGAACATCTCGCCAGGGGCAAGCATCAGCTTGTCTGGGCGCTGCAAGAGACGATCGAAGGCCGGCTTGAGCTCGTAGCACGATTCGAAGACCTCGCGGCGACCGAGGATGTACAGGCCCAATCTAGCGCGGGACAGTGCGACGGTGAGACGGCGGACGTCGCGTAGGTATCCCACAGTGCGTGTGCGGGTCAAGGATAGAATCACGTCTGAGATGAAGAGGTTAGTAAGAGGGATATCGAAAGTATTGTTGGAAGTCTACTCGACTCCGGAGTATCTCCAATAGGGCGGGCATGTAAAACTTACAATCATTCTGTTCTCCTTGATACCTGTCCACGGTAGTCACGATCTTCGGCATGCCGAACATGGAATTCTTCGCGCAGCGGTGGTTCAACACATCCCGAATCAGCGCCGTCTGTCCAGCGTAGGTAGCGAGAATCGAGATCTTCGACGCCGGGTAACCCAGCAAGCGCATGTACTGGTACAAAGCCACGGTGTACTCAGCCTCACCAAGGTTCTGGATGAAGTGGGGTGTTGGCTCCCGCTCACCATTACCCTGATAGTCGGGAACATTGATGAACTGGTAGTCGAACTTGAATCCCGGGTTTGCCAGCTTGAACTCCTCGGCCTCGACGGCAGGAAGGTCTCCGAGCTCGGGGTATCTCCAGCGGAAGAGCTCGGCGATACTTGATCGGGCACGTCCTTGCTTGTCCAGTGTGATCAGGGGCACACCAAGGCGCGCCAGGCGTAAGAAGAGAGATTGTTCGAAGTGTGCGTACTGGCGGAATGCCATATTCTGAATGACGGGTGAATTTTGGAAGTGGTCTCCGCACAGGACGACTCGCTTGAGGGGAGGCTCGCCGTTCTCGTTCTTCATATTCTGCAGAGCGGATGGGATGAAGCTTTCAATCTCTGTGATCTGCGCGGCCTCTTCCATCACCACATTGTCGTAGTGGAAGCCCAGGTCGGCGATCTCTTGGCGACGCATGGCTGCGTGTGTGGAGGTCATGGCGATAACTCGGGCCTCCTTGATGAGGAGGTAGTTGGCCTTGTCGCGAGGTTGACGCAAAATCTCAAACGGCCGAATATCCTCGAGTTCAGAGAAGATCCGCTCAATGTGTCGTTGGCAGCCAGAAGCAATATCCAAAAGTGTGTCCTTGGGAGCACCAGCATCGAACAGAGGTTGAGGAGCATTTGCGAAATATTCATGGAATGGGAAAGCAGTGATTATATTCTCGTTCGAGACATCAGCCTTTGTTTGGTCCCAGAATTTGGCCCATGCAGGTTGGACATAAACTGTGTTGAAGTAGCCTGCCGTCTCGCAAGAGTTTCCGTGTGCGCCTTCGGCACGGAGGGACGCTGCTAGTCGCATCACTTCTGAAAGATAATGATTCCGGTTATCGAGGAATGACTCGACCCGTCCAAACTTGCTATAATTGGAATCCGTGTCCAGTTCCTCCTCGCCGTGACCCAATCGCAACAGATGACGTTTGTCGATGTCAAGGGCAGTGATCTTTTGAAAGAGTTGGTTGAGGGCCTGGTTGCTGTGTGCAATGAGAAGCGTTCGTTCGTTGGGGAAATTATGATAGAGGTTGTTGATTATTTGAGTGGCGACATCGGTCTTGCCGGTTCCAGGGGGACCAACGATGACAGTGAGTCCCGGCTGTGTACCAGAAGCAATCGCTTCTACCTGGGCTGGGGTGAACCGCACAGTGTTGAGTTTGGGCGCATCAACGGGGTAAGGCCCAGGGTTGGGCGGCTTGTAGGATGAGACACGCATGGTGCTGGAAACCTCAGTCGGCTCGGCTTGTTCTTTCCGGCGTTTCTTTGGAGGCGCTTCAGCCGGCGTTGGTTCACTTTCAACGGTTTCAAGAACGTAAGGAGGTCCAAAGCTCGAGGACTCGGCCTCGGAAGGCTCGATAGACTTGCCGGGGAAACTTTCGACAAGATGAGCCCAGTCGAGGAATGTATCCCGGAAATCAACGGAATGGAGTCTGTTTGGAAGCTGCGAGTACTGGGCGCCAGAGGGATCGCCGTACCCGAGGAAGATGTCTTGAAGCCAAGACGGGAGTGCAACATCAGAGACAATGAGCTTCTGCATAGTTTCCAGAATAGATTTGAAGTTGTTCTCCCGACCCTTTCTCCGAGCAACCACATTGATCAAGGGATAGACGTCTGGCTTTCCTTGTGCTTGACGGTCCTTGTCCGCTTTGAATACGGATGGTTCCAAGTTGACTAGCAGTCGACGCACCCGCGGACGGGAGTTGTGGCCATTTGACTGACCAGAAGCTGGCTGACGCAGTTGACGGCCTTGCTCATCAAGAACCTGAACAATCTCTGCCGTTCGAAGATAGGTCATGTGAGGACCCTCAGCATTCTCGTCGTTTGAGTGTCGAGGAGGTGAAGATGACTGAACTGCCAGAAGATAGATGACATCGTCCGGGCGAAGGCCTTCCCACTCTTTGCGGATATGATCTGCCAGTCTGCCCACCTCGATGGAAATCTCGGCACGAATGAAGGCCGGGTTGGGGGAGCCGACCTTCGCGGGGGCAACTTCAATGATAGCAGGCTTTTCAATGGGGATGGCCATGCGTGAGAATCCTTCGAACTTCAAGCTTCCATCGCGGTTTGCGCGGGGCTGCATGCGCTTCACGACTGATTCCATGTCCTTGCGGATTTGGAAAAAAGCCTCAGATCGGTAAAGAAGGAATGAGCGCCAAAGAAAATCACCAATGCTCAGGTATTGCAAGTTCAGCTTCGGGATGGCAAGAGGTCTTGAGCCATCGTAGGACTCGTTCCTCAGCAACGCTGGGTCATATAAATCGGCTTCGGTGGGCACAATGCTCAGCTTTGAGGTGGCCTCCTGGAAAGAAGGCTTACGCTCGTAGAAAGAAGCAAGCACCTCTGTGTAAAACCTTGTATCCGGGATGATACCGCAAGATTTGGGATAGGTAGTTCGGAATCCAAGAAGGGAGCAAAGACTCTCAAG